GGGGGTGACGGTGGCAGTGGCAGTGGCAGTGGCGGTGGCCACTGTGGAAGGGCGTTGCTGCGGCGGGAAGCATCTCCCCGGGGGCCCACCGATCCCGCCTGTAATCGCCAACGGCGGAGTCGAGGACTATGGGGAGGGGAGTATGGGGAGGGGGACGGGCCCCGGGAGGAAACCGCCGAACCTCTCTGACGTGCAGCGGGGGTTTGAGCGATGCGATTGGGAGATTGGAGAGGAATGGGGGGAAAGGAGGAGAGGAGGGCGCACTGGTAATAGCGGTACGTCGGGGCCGTCGTGGTGCGGTGTTGGCGATGGCGTGCCGGAGGGTGAAACGGGTGATGAGCGGCGATGATATAACGTAGCGGTTTGACGTGGTGGGTGCGGAGTGGCTTGGTGTGATGAAAGTATTGACGGTGCAGGGATGCCAAGGCGAGTAGTGGGGCCGGAGAGAGTTTAGCACCTGTGTACGGGAAGGGGGGGGCCATAACGAGGTGAGGTGAGAGGACGGGGGGCGGGACGGAGGAGGAGCATTGTTGTCTTTGACTGGGGATAGAGCGGTGGTGGTAAAGGTGGTTGTTGGGGCGGTGACTGGGAAACGGCCCACCAGTAAACCACCGGTGTAAAGAAGGTTCATGTGCCCGGCCGTGTGTGCGTGTGTGTGTGTGTGTGTGTGGTTTTGTGGCAGGGCCGCTGGAGGGGCTTGCCAGTGGTTGCTATCTTGCGGGAAGTCGTGGGTCCACCTCTCCAATGCGTGTTGTGGCGGCCTTCTGCAGTGATGGGCGGCGAAATAGAGGCACAACAACAGCTAGGTGGGGTGCCCATCATCCTCTTCTGTGGCTGTGTGGCCCAATTCCGGGGTCATATCGTCATCGTCAGCAGAAGAGGACAATAAAATGCCTTCAAAGGCGCGCGAGGTTGAGTTGGTTATCAATGTCCGGGCAGTTTAAGCTGCGTACATTCGTACTCAGTTGTACCGTCTGCCGTACATGCTACAAAGCATCGTCGGGGTAGGAGGGTTATGTACGGTACGCAATTAGGAGAACGCAAAGAAGCCTGAGTGGCGTGGAAGTGTGCGACGAGTTGAGAGTGCCGCGAAGAAATGGGGAGACGGGAGAGGGACCGGTACCGCGTTTTTGCGACGTTTTTCCAAACGCACATTGCGACGTTCTAATCCTTGCTGGCTGGCATCAATGCTGAGGGGACTATGGAGATGGCGAAGACTAACACCATTTGAAGCAAAGACGGCGGGAAAATACAAGAATGTATTTCCCAGAATCGGGCAGTGCATTTGTTTCTCTACACGGCCTATGACAGCTGCAAAATACAAGTTTAACAATTTCCAAATTCCGCATGCACACACGTGCGGGGGTGTCCGTAAAAGCCTGAGGGGCGCCCCATGCACCGTGCTGCTATGGCTCTGCTGCTGGTTGTGGTGGTGTGGATATGCGCGAGCGAGTTGGCGCCGGGAAGTCCTTTTGTTGCTGGTTGTGAGGAGGACGAATTTGCGAATGGGGGTGAGGAGACCGCTGGTGGCGTGGGTGTGGGTTCCTATGCTATCCTGGAGGCTCCGGGGCTCAGGTAACCTGATGGGCAGCTGATAGAGCCAGTCGGTGATGGGTGCGCATTGCATGCATAGAGTCTCTTAAGATTCCCTTCGCCTTTTCCCGTGTGTGTGAGACGGGGGGTGAGCTGCTGCTTCCTGAACTGTGGGGGCCGCAGAACCCGGGCCGTGCGACGAGCTTCCTACGAGCTCCTCAGGGCGAAGAATGCTCCTCCGTTTCCGTATGCCTTCCGTACGTACGTCCCGCCGTACGTCCGTACTAATATTACGAGGTGCCTGAGGGCGTTTGTTCAATAGATCATTGGCAGTTGATTTTTGTTATTGCTTCAAGGCGTGTGCCGCAAGTTCTTGGCATGTTTAAGTGGCCAAGAGAATATTGCTGAACGCGCTAGTAGTAGTAGTAGTTGTTGTAGTAGTAGTAATCGTAGGTATTACGCGCTGGTGTTTACTGGCTGTGATGAAAACCGCTGTTGCCGCCCGCGTGGAAATGTCGGTGATGGTAAAGAGCGGAGGGAAACTGGATTACCTGTCGCGAGCAGGCCTTTGGCGGTGTTGAGGCCCCCCTGGAGCCGTGCGCAGTAGCCGGGGTCCTAGCGCTGACAAGCTACAGCTACGGCATTATTTATCATTATTGGCAGAATTGACGTTTGGAAGAGTTTTGCTTCGGTAATTTGTAGCTGGCCGCTCAGTTTGATTTACCTTAAGTATGGAAAACTTGATGCGCTTTGGTGAGGCTACACCACCACTATCATCTTGTCTTGTTTGGGAGGGCCGGGGTCGGCGAAGTGGGGAAGTGCTGTGCAGCTCGCCGTGCTGCGCCGCGCCTTTTCAGGCGTCAATGCCAAACGATTATATGCTTGTACACATATTGGCTGGCTGATGTGCAATGGCCGCGTCTAACGCGCTGGATGAATGGCACTGCAACGTCGTCCGCCGTCGCTGCCACAACTAACCAACCTGGCCGACATCCTGGAGGCCAATGTCCCTTCCGCATTCTTTCAAATTTCAAATAGGGGCTCAAAAAGTTGTAGCCGGGAATTAAGCAGCACCTGGAATTATCTAGAAACCCTGTAGCGCGGCAGCGAGCCGTAGTGATGTGTTTCGTTTGAATGATTTCGCTAAAAGAATGGTGTCAGTGTTTGCTCCTTTGCTCGCATTGCCTTGGCGCGGGGTGCCCGGAAAACCACACAGAGAGAGCCACATACAGACATACAGACGAAACGACACGCGTGTCTGAAAATGCATCTGCATACGCCAGGAGGAGATTTTACACCGACACAACATCCTTTTCTTTCTGTTACAGAGTGGGAGGCTTCTGGGCCATTTGAACACATTGTCATTTCTAAGATTTACCACACCTTACAGCACCAACACAACATCCAGCATGCATCGAGGGATGTGTTTGCGACCCTCTCTTCCCCGCAAATACATGAAGTCGTTTTAGCACAAGAACTCCGGGACATTCGCACCGGTGCTATGCACCCGAGTTCTAAAAATCCTGGCTGCCCGTTTTGAAAGCCCACCTGAACCGTCCTTCCTGGAGCTTGCCGTATTGCCTCGAAATCGTCGTTCTGAGGACACAACGCTGCGCACCAGTGCAGTGAAACTTCTTTCTTCCGCCACCCTTCTTCCGTCTTTCTTCCGCCACCCTTTCGACCGCAATTGGCCATATCAGCAATAATATCGGCTGGCCGCACAGCAGTATATCTTTCCCCCGGAATCTTGGGACCGTCCGTTGACCTAAACGCCTACAAAGTGACGCTACTATTTCTTTGATTGGCAAGCCTCTATCCAAACGCCCCCAAATTTGCTGAGGATCACCCCATCCAAAGCGGACACCTGCAAAGCGGTACGCGGCAATGAAGGGTGTAAGCAATGCCACATACTAGCTCAACCCCCAACCGGAGACACGGTACTGGTGTCAAAGCCCCCCAATCCCTCCTCCTCCCCTGAAAACGGGCATGCCTCCCGTCTTATTCCCGTACCGGCATCCCGTCACACCCCAGGCCGCCGCTGCCGTACAATGCATTAGAAGGTGGCGGCGGCGGCCGCGTTGACGGGCACCGGCGTGCCGCCGGCCGGCTTCGACGGCCGTCATACCCTCAAACACCCCATCGCGCAGCCGCCCGTGGCTGCCGACGTCGCAACGAACATAGCCCTCAGGCTGTGGCCGGAACCTTCGTCCATTCCTCCGTCGTTCGGTCGAACGGTCATGCAGGCGAGCGAGTGACCGCATCCGACAGTAAAGTGGGTGGGTCAAGAGGCGAGGGAAGGGACCGGGGGAGGTGGTAGCGGTTGCCAGGTGGGGAAGTGGGAAGTGGGGAGCTAGACAACCAATCGACACAAGCGGGCGCGGAGAGGGCCGCGTGCGTGTGGTTGGGTTACAAAAGCGGGCCTTGCGCTGCTTTTTCAGACAGGCCGGGGCTTCGCGCTTGAGGACATGGAGTGCCTTTAGGATTGGAAAATGGTGTGAGAGAGAACGAGTATGGTATGTGCGCGTATGTGGGTGTAAGTGTGCGCGTTTTGTTTTTGCCTGTTGGGTTCAATTAGGTTAATCAATCCGCGTCGGTGGAGAGTGCACAGGTCACAGGCGGTGCAGGAGAGGCCACCGTCGAGTCCCGCGTATCGACGCATCTCCTTAAGCCAGTACTGTGCCTTGACCAGCGTACGACGTTGCGTCACGTCGTACACAATGGCGGCCGCGTGCGCGCCCGTGTAGCACAGTGGCGCTAGAGCCTTCACGCCACGTCATCCTCACCGAGTCGCCTAGCAGGACAAGCTTGACACGCGGGGCCAGATTGCCACTACTCAGCGAAGATGCTTGTACTGGAGCTCCAGTAAGTGGCGTGACAAGCAGGATGTCTACGTTCGTAAGGCGTTATGTAGTAAGCGCAAGATATAATGTTTATACGAAGTGCTGCCTACCTCTGGTTGCGTATATGATTTACTCAAGACGCACGAGCCCACAGCTGGGATATTACAAACATCGCACGCTTTAGGCCAGGGTAATACAGTACTGCCGCAACGCCTAAAGCCATGCCCCACGCCATGCCCATGTTTCGCGATGTGACATGTTACGGCAACGGAAGTCCGAGCGTCGTTAACTTGCCGTAACCGTCACACTGCTTCATGGTAGTGTATCGACCAGGAAACCATCTAGGCATAGGCCGTCATACGTCTAATATTTCGGCGACAACCTTTTCCTAATGCCGCTGATATTGCGGCAGTGATAGTTCTACATTCTGGTGGTCAACTCCGTATCGACCTATGCCGATTGCACAATAAGCACTACCTGTATCCTTAGCTTACCCTATAAAGGTTAAAAACATTTATCTGAGATACGCGACTTTGCGACCCACCATCAAAAACGTTGACCTGCGTAAGCCGTGATTCAAAGGCCTGAATTATGGCGAGCTTGCATATGGTATGAGCAGATGATACTATGTCCACTGTTGGTGGAGGCTTGCGTGAGCGGGAGCTGCAGAGCCTGCTGAAGCAGAAAGAAGCGGAGCTTAAGCAAGCGAACGCGGAGCTAGTGAGTACTAATTAGAAGCCAACTGGAGCAAAATTGTCAGGAGTTGACAGCAAGCTGCTGGCCGCCTGGCGTTGGTTGTGTTAACATGCCGGCCTGGACTGCAGGAGGAACGCGGAAAGCTCCTGTACAAGACCAAAGTAGGTCTTGGAGATTGATCTAGGGTAAATTACTCGGAGTAACTGCGACCTGCGGACTGGGCCGCCGTCAGTTTTCGGAACGGCCGGCTGGCAGTTACTAAGCATTTTTAGCCCTTTTTCGTTGGTGAACGCGCGCCATGAATACATGTGCATTTACGTAAGCTTTGTTCTGCCAGGCATAGCGTATCTTGTAGAACCCAGATCGGCCTTGAGGGCTTATCCTCGTGGTTGTACCTAAAATCCTAGTCTAGCTACGATATGTCCTGTGAATCCTCAGACAACTGAGCCGCGTTCCCCCACTTGGGACTTAGCACCAAATGATAAATAGCATCTTGAATCACTGTTCCTCAGAGTTGCAAATGCATACCTAACGCGCCCAGCTGCACCTGGGTGTATGTCCGCCGCCCTTAGGAAACACTTCGGCTTTCGGCTCCACGATTCAAAACGATGGCAATAGCTGCCTCGTGTCCTTTGCGTCGCAGGTTGCTATCGAGCAGCTGCAGCAGGAGCTGACCGTTAGCCGTCGAGACGAGCAGGCTATCCGGGACGAAGCAAACCGGGTGGGTGAGCAGGCGGTTTCGACAGGTCACGCGGGTAATAGCCTATCAGCCGCGATGTGCCTCTTCCGTAGGGCGACGTGCGGAGTCCATACGAACTAGCTCGTTTCCAAGGGTCTGCGAATGAGGTACAAGGCCCCTCCGTGAAAGTAGCAGGCCAATGGCTGCCATGTGGCTATTGCGCAGGTGTGCGAGGAGCAGGCGACACAGCTCCGCCAAGCAGAGGAGCACGTGCAGGCGCTCCAGGAACAGCTTCAGCAGGCAAACAAGCAAGCCAAGGAGCTTCAGGTGCGCTGCAGGGTGCCTTGAGTTGCACGGCCTGAGCACTGTGGCGTGCATTGCGCGTGTGCGCGCACATGGGCCCATAGATGAATCCCAGAGAACATTGCGCTTCTAAGTCCGAAGCGAGAGGCCTCATCTGTCTGCACCGGGTCTCACCTGGCATGTCCCGTGACAGTGACAAGCTGACTATTTTCTGCTTTCCTTTCTGGATAGGAGTTATAGGCGTGTGCGCAAAGGTGCAACTAGCTAGAATAATGAACATTGGGTTGGGGCCGCGTGGGTTAACATCCGTGTCACAACAGGCCTGTTATCCAGGTGTAGCGGTGTTACCATTCAGATATGTGCAGACGGCGCAATTCCGTGTGTATTGGGCGGAGTATATCACTGGTGGAGGGCGGGCGTCTCCTGCACAATTTTCACGTTTTCGTGAGTGCACGGCCTAGCGAGCTTTACGCGGCGAAATGACCCTGATGTACCCCGGCAGACCAAGGCCATCAGCTTTGAGGTCGAGCTCGAGCAGCACCGGCAACAGGCGCTCCTCGACAACAATTCGGTGACACACAAACTGCGCGAGAAAGACAAACAGATTTTGTCGCTTGGAGACGAGATTGAGGGCGTCAAGGAGCGCGCAGCTGAGCTGGAGAAGATGCTGCGGGACACACGATCCAAGGTGAGCTGCGTGACGTGGGGGGACGCGACGCTACGGACCAGTGGCTAAGGTTTCGTGGCGCGGTTCAAGGAGCAATAAGCTTGGATTGGGCTTTAGGGCCGTGGCATGGTTTGCTGCCGGTTTCGCCAGTATCATGCATCTGCCCTGTTGGACAACGCGCAAGTTGCACGTGCCAAGCTGGCCCTAAAGGCAGCGTCCATCGCAAACGCATCCCGACCTCTCGGTCCCTCAGTTGGCCACACTCGAGCTGGACAGGGAGGAGACCGAGCGGCTCATTCGCGATCTGACGGCCAAGAACAAGCAGCTGAACCAGGATAAGCAGGTGGGCCATTTCTGCTGCCGCCAGGCGGAACTCACCTGGCCCTCGCGTTGCTTTGACGGGATTCGGCCGTGTCCCGGTGAAACGTAACATACATCATACGAAAAGCTGCGCCTATGGAAGGCAGAAGATGCAGGGGAGCCCCGGCATTAGGTCAAAGGAAGGATCAGGGTGTCGGGGTGCTTCGCTGTTGCGAAGACTGCAACCTGGATATTCTGTAGTTAGTATGGTGCATGGCCGAATGACCGAATTTCAAGCCCCCAAGCCCCCTTCCTGACTGCAACCGTTCCCCATGATCTGAAACGAACGGGAGCCTGTAGGAACTGGAGCAGCAGCTGGAGCTGGCTAAGAACCTAGCGGATGCGGCGAAGCGCGAGACAGCGCGTGCCCTCCAGGTGCGTGTAACAGGAGCGTCAGACGGCATGCCGTTCTGGCACGGGAAGCGGCACGGGAAGTATCTTGCGTCGCAAAGACGACGCTACAGGGAACTTAGCGTGAATTATACGGTTACTTCGAGCGCAAGCCGCGTAAGCTACGCAAGTGGCGAGGTGGCTTGCATGCTCCTTGCACGGGCTCGGCTGCCTCAAGAGGCAAGCCGAAGTGTGCGCAGTGCTCAGGATTCCTCGCACCTGCCCTTATTGGGTGACCTCTGTTTTATAGGCTGTGGAGCTTAGCGAGAAGGAGAAGAACGCCATTGAAGTGGATTGTAACCGCAAGCTCGACAGGCTGGTTGCCGAACACGACCTCAGGATGCGGGTGAGAGGTTGTGCTCAGGAGGGGCCGAGCGCTTGCCTGTCGCGAGTCGGACGACATTTTTGCGATGTGATTTATACCTCTGACGCCAACGACATTGATCAGCAGATAGATAGCAAGCCCATCGCCGGGGTCGGTTCCTATCTCTAGGCTGTGTTCAGCGCGTACTGCTGCTGTCGCAGATGTCTGTTTTCGCAATGTGTGGCGCAGTGCAGCGGTGAGGTAAACGCATTTGCAACCCATCGCTCCCTGCACTGCCTGCGGGGAGCCCATTACTCTGCTTCCTGCTGGCATACATGGCGTCGGCTTGTGGGCTGCCGTTGTAGGCTTACTGCAGCTACTGGCCTCCTCCCGGAGAGGATGGCATTGATCCTGGCAATCTGCTTTTGCCTTGCTTCCCGTAGCACCGCCGGTCGTGGAATTGTACGGAATGTTTACCTGGCCCCGCCCTTCACCTTTTGAGTGTGCGCAGGAGGCAGAGAAAAAGCTGCGGGACCTGGATGCGACGTGGCAGGCGAAAGAAGAGATAACGGAACGGAGCTGGGTTACCCGCCTCCAGGTGCGAAGGGCTTTGGAGACTTTGGCCCGGCTGAAATGTGCTTTGGCATTTTTGGCAGCAGTAGCCACCCACTGCAATTTGCTACGGAACAGCACGCCAAAGTCATAGATTAGAGAATTGACGCCTTGGAAATGGACCATGCAAAAGCCGACGTCCAGACTATGCACATGCAAGGCACTGTCTGATGCCGTGGCATGTTTGGCATCCGACATTGCCTTGCATGCGCTGTAGAGAGCCCTGCTGGGGTTGACTTTTACGGGACACACAAAACATAATAGAGAATTAATGTCGGCGTGCAAATAATGCGATTCCACCTAGCCGCGCCAGCGAACCGCCGGAGGCCAAGGATAAGGGCCCATGAAAAGGATCCAGGAATAGGAAGAGCAAGGCCACCGAGCTTCATCAATTATCATGTATGGCCCCCTTGGCTGCTGGCCGTCATCCACCCCACAGGAAGTTGAGCAGCACTGGGAGAAGCGGCTTCGCGACGGCATGACCGCCTGCGAGCGCAAGTTCGCGGAAGAGGCGATGGCGTGGGAGCGGCGCATTCGGGAGACGGATGCAGCCTGGCAGGCCAAGGTCGTAGAGCTGGAGCAGTTGTGGCGTGAGTCTCGGACGCGCGATCTCGTTGCCGGTCCTGCATGGCGTGCGGGGATCTCCTGTTTCGAATGCCGCCTTCGCTGCTCCCAATTTCTTTGCGTATGCCAGGTCTGCGAGGCCGTTTGCCAGGTCTGCGAGGCCGTCGAGATCTCTGGGCACCTGCAGTTGCCGTGTTGAGGCGTCAACTGCAGCACTGTGGCTTTACGGTCCATGATCCCAAGCCGCAGCAAGTGTGGGATAGAATAGAACGGCAGGCATAATCCATATTGCTACGTGGTGATCAGCAATCATATGACTCCAAATGACTCCCGTATCTGACGGGGGTTGTAATGCTTGCTTTCCCGTTGCCGCCCTAATACTTCATACAGGGTAACCTTTTCGCAATCGAACTTTAAGCAGCTCGCTACCCCGGGGCCTTCTGCAGGCAACCGTCTGTCCGACGATCAGCGTCTGCACGATGCCGATCGAGCGCACTGGGAGGCACAGCTGCTGGCGCAGCGCGCGGAGCTGGATGCCACGTGGTCCGCGCGGCTGGATGAGACTCGGCGCAACCTGGAGGCCGCCTTGGAGGAGGCCACCACGCGTGCAGCTGCGGATCGGGAGGCGCTTGAGAAGAAGGCATTACTGGAGCGCGCAGCCCTCGAGAATGCCGTCAACACTGAGCGCCAGGCGCTCGAAAGCACTGCGGCGGCTGAACGGGCGGCCTTGGAGCGCAGCACGACCAAGCGGCTCAAGGAGATGGAGGCGGCAGCGACACGGCTTGCGGATGAAGCTCGTATAAAGTGGGCTGAGGAGCGGGCGGCGGCGGAGGGCGTGTGGGCTGACCGGATGGCGGAGCTGGAGGCTAAGTATCGCAAGAAGCTGGGTGCGTGGTCTTGGAGCGTAATCCAGGATGGGAGAGTTTCGGTAGGGATGGATTTTAAATTTTCAGCGTGCAGCGTGCTTGAGATCCTTTCGACTTCAGGACGTTTGCATGATCGTGGGAAGGGGAAGGGCAACCACGGAGAACGATGCGTCCCGCAAGGGCTTGTTTAATTAACTACCATCATGCCGGTCCTTCGCCCTCCATTGCGCCTCTGTCCGTGGGCGCTTCATCGATGTCAGTCTTGCTACTGACTGACCCCCTGTGTTCCCCCTTGCCCCCTCCGCCGCTTCCTTAATCCCCCACTTGCTGCAGAGGACCTCAAGCGCAAGGCCGCTTCTCGGGAGCTGGAAATTGACAACCAGTGGAAGGAACGTCTGGACGAGCTGACCAACAAGTCCCTCGCGGAGCGAGAGCTCATCGCCGCCTCGTGGAACAGCAGGCTAGCGGCAGCCCAGGAGGAGGCCGCTGCACGCTACCGGGCCCTGCAGGTGCGATGGCGGGCAGTAGTCCCGTACGGGGTTACACTGTCAGCTGCGGGAAGGCGCAATTGGCCCATAGCTGAGCGAGCGTGTTGCTCCGGCAGTAAGGGAGTTGCAGCTCCCGTTGCCGTGGGCTACCTGATAGGCCTTGCCAGGCGGCCTTGCACTGCACGGTGTAGCCCCACCGGCGCGCTTTTGGGGCTACCATGGCCGCCGGTTGCACGTGGCTGGTACGAGTGTGTGGACGGTGCGGCGGCAGTGTCCTGAGTTCTTGTGGCTTGTGGCGCTGGGTGCATGCAGGAGGAGCTGGATGCCAAGGTGGCCGCCATCAGTAGCCGGCTGGCGGACATGGCAGGGAAAGAGGGCCGGCGGGAGGTGCAGCGAGGCGAACTAACGCGCCAGGTGAGCTGGGGGAAGCAAAGAGCGAGGAAAGGGCGGTGGATTGTCTTTGCAAAGCCATCGCCAGTGACGGAATCATGGAACGGGGTAGGGACGGGGGTTCATCATGCAAAGTGGAAGTTATGGCAGTTTTGCCTTTGTTCACATGACAGCACACATGACAGCAATGGCCAGATGGGTAAGTCAACTGGTCCATATCGGTGTTACAATGGCCTCTTTGCGTGTTAAGTTTGAGTTGCAGTACAGTGTTATGCGTACAGTGAACCTGTCAAAGCCCTGAATGCAAGCGGGTGATGCACCCACTCATCTTGCTAGCCCGAATCGGCGGCGGTTACCATTACTGATAGATCTATCCATCCGTGGATTGCGCGGTATACTGTGTTCGCAGCTGGAGGAGCTTCAGGCCCTACACGAAGCGGAGACCCGGCGGCGTGCAGAGCTGGAGCGGGCACTGCGTGACGCGGCGGCCATGTTCAAGGCCGAGCTGTACGAGAAACAGGTATGATGGCCACCCTACCGGGATTGCACTTTGCGGGTTTGCCTACCCGCCTTGCATGCCACATGTGCGGTGTTCTGTGCTTGCAGCCGCCGCCTCATTCATGCTGAAGGGGGCCTCGCCAATCCATGCTATCACGGGCGCCCTCCGTCCCCTGCATCATTTCCCACTCGCACCGTAACTTTCCAACACGGTACACGCACCCGGACTACTTGTGTTTGCGCAGGCGCAGCTAGACGCGGCCTACCGGGACGCTCGCATCCTGCGGCAGCATCTCGCAGCGCATAACGTTAACTTGCCCTCCCCACGACCCGGACGCTCCAAAGGGACTGCGACCGGCGAGTCTTCCCCCAAGGTAAGGATAGTGCTCTAGAGGATAGTCTGAAGAAGCTGTGGGCTTCAGGATAAGGCATATGGTCTACCTGGCGGGGCTCAATCCTGCTCAACGTTGTGGTAAATTTGCACCCACACTAGGCGCATTCCTGTCTAGCGCCTTGCGTGCTAAAACTACAGTTCGGTGACGTCCATTGCTGTACTTGACGCTGGGCGCTTTATCATTGGATTTTTTGCCTCCCAGGTGCCATCCGTGGATATGGAAGGTATTGCCTTATCACCGCCTCCGGCGGCTGGTTACTACACTTCGGGATCTGGGGCTAGCCCGCGGACGGCCAGCGTGGCTACCCCCTCGGAACTGGACGCCGAAGTCACTGCGCTACGGGCAGCCAGGGCGGAGTATCAACGGTCAATTACCGCCGCCCAAGATGCGCGCAACGCTCTACTTGACCGATCAGAGGTGGGCTCTACGTGAGGCCACGTGCAGTTTGCCAGCTATGGAATTGCGTGCGCGGGTTGCCAGGAGGAAATGCCATGACCTTCATTCTCTGCTATCTTGTCTTACTCCCACAATTGAGAATACTCCCGCATGTACTTGTGTAACGGGCAGGTAAACCCTTTCACGCTGACAGGTTCGCGAGCAGCGGAGCTACAGCGCTTGTGCAAGCCCAGCGCTCAACCGACAAGCTCGCAGCTCTGGGCGAGGAACTAACAGCAGAGCTGCCAAGTACATCGGCAGGTATATGCCTATGCCATGCTTAGTGTATCGCGCTGTGCCTCCTGCTCTAACCAGAGTCTCATTGCTGATTAAGCATGGCGTGCTTGCCCAATTGCAACAGGATGCTGATGGATGACGACTCGTCTGTCATGGAGACGCAACCCCGCCGGGAGCATGCTTCCACAGACCCGGCCTTTGACGCTTGGCGAAGCCGCCTATCTTCACGTCTTACTTCTGCGTTAAAAAAACTGGAGCCTAGTGTGCGATAGCACGTCTGTGGGCGCAGTTGCCGAAATAACGACTTTCCTTGTCGATAGACAGGAAGATCATTTTGGAATTGATTTGACTCCTTGTAAATATGCTCACAGCACCAATGTTCCCTTGGGTAAAGCTTTCGTTAGACGACGGCATCTGCAAAAGTCTGAGACTCTACACCGACACAAAAACACGAAATTCCATTAACCGCACATCCTCATCCGACCAGGATTTGTGCCGCCCTTGACAACCATATCCATAATCAGAAAGAAACGGAATTGCGGGGCTCCAAAGTACAACAGATCTCTGCCGTACATCATCTCTCCTCGAAACTGCAGCGTCGTCGGCGCAGTCCTGTTCGCTCCGACCTGGTTCTGCAACAGACGGGCAGCTCTTGCCCTGTAAGCTGCCGAAAGCTGGCCCCGAACGCCGACTGAGCGTGGAGGGTCGCGGGAATGGGCGAGCAGCTCAGGCAACGGGGAACCGTGAAGTGGTTCAACGCCACTAAGGGCTTTGGATTCATCACACCTGAAGGTGGTGGCGAGGACTTCTTCGTCCATCAGGTCAGCGCTGAAGCTTTGCACAACACGTCGTTATTGTTAGCGTTCAGCCGTCGAGACCAAGTTCTTGAGGCTGGCAAGGGTTCTCTGTGGAACAGCGGTCTAGTGCATTTTGACAGCTTTTGTTACATGGACTTGCTGGGACCTCTTGGGATTGCACGCTGCTTATCTGCTGGGTGTGCGGGGGCCGTGCCAATGCAACGACCGCGCTATGGCCGCTGCACACGCTCCTTGATTTAGCGTAATATACGCTTAGTTTGCTTACCAAAATCTTAAGCTCCAAAACGAATCCACAGCGGCTTGACCTGGACTGCTTTCTCTCGGTTGAGTGTTGCATGGTTGCTGCGCAGACCAACATCAACTCGGATGGCTTCCGCAGCCTGCGGGAGGGAGAGGCCGTCGAGTTTGAGGTTGAGGCAGGGCCGGATGGAAGATCCAAGGCCGTGAGCGTGTCTGGCCCTGGTGGCTCTGCCCCGGAGGTGAGAGCGCTTCCTCTGGACTCCACCCACACAATTTGGCTTATTATAATCGGAAGGCATCTATAGCAGCTATCTCCCATAGCTGCTGTTCTCTACTTCTACAAGGCGTGGGAGTCGAGCGGGTACCATACAACCTTACTGGCTTTGCTCGGTCTTGCCTTAATGTGTCGGCTGCGGACATTAGCTGCTGTGATTTATTACTAAGGCCTGCCGAGGGGGATGTGTACCTCAAGTACTTGAGGTTCGTGAACATCCATGCCTGGTTGTCCGGGGATAAAAGTGGCGACCCTGCTTTTCCAGGGTCAGGCGCCAAAGCGCGCGTTCCTGAGTATGTTCGACGCAGTCCCTGTACGTATGCCTATGGTCCCGCTAATGTCACACTTCTGAGGCCTGGCGGGGTTGGGTCCTCTCTCTAGCTCGATGTGTCTGATCCCTGACGTCAAGCGGATGTGGCTATGCAAAAGGCATGGATTGCATTCCCCCATTGCCACGCACAGGCCAGGGACATGCGCTGAGATGAAGCTGTCGACAAGTTAGCCTGCGTACCCCTCATCTGCCCTCTGTCCTCTATGCTCCAGGGTGCTCCAAGGAACTTCCGGGGCGGTGGCCGTGGTCGCGGCCGTGCCCGTGGCGCCCGTGGTGCTTATGCTGCTTACGGCTATCCTCAGATGCCGCCCATGTACCCCGGCTACTACTTTTTCCCAGCTGGTATGTTCAGTCCCTGTGCAATCACTGGCTAGGACAGGCCGCGGCGCGCGCGTGTTTACAGTTATGCATGTTTACAGTTATGTCTACAGTTCTAAAAAACATTTCGGACAATCTTTACCAGATGTGGACAATTTGATTAGATTTGGCTGGCGACTATGTAATGGGAAATTCGCGGGCGCAATCGGGAAATGGTGTGGTGTTAAAGCATTCGTAAAAATGATAAAAAAAACAGAATCCAGCTGTCTCGACGGGTAAGACGGAAGCTGCAGGCTGACAGTGGCCGGAATCCTGCAGGACCAGTAACCCCCGAGGATCCATTCCTTCGCAACAGAATTAAACACGTCACGTCCTGCGAAACGTCCGAACTTCATGGCAAAATTGTGCTATTTTGCTGCCGTCGCTTTTGTGCAGATCCAACTGGCCGGGGACGGGGTCGCGGCCGTGGCGGCATGCCTATTCAGGGTATGATCCAGGGTATGCCGTACCCTGGCATCCCCATTCCCGGTGGCTTGGAACCGACGGGCGAGCCGTCGGGACTGCAGGTGCGGCTGGTTGGATTGGATGCTATGGTATAACCGAACACCACCCAGCGTTCCCTGTTGGCGGTTCCTTCTGCGGCAGGTTTGACTATCGGCTTCGCAAGCAGACCTTTTGGAATCGGGGCCGATTGGTTCGGATATCTGTGAAACATGAAAGAGTTTTTAGGTACCATACGGAAGGCGATTCCGCGTCAAGGGATATGAGGCTTGATGGCATTAAGTTAATTGCCAGAGCAATGCTGTCAGTTCTGTTGGCAATAAATCACGGGAAAGAATCTGTTCAATGCCGTGGGGATGTTGATGCAATGACTGGGCGTGTGATCGTCTGCAGCCCTGCATAATTCCTCACCTTTCCGTACCTAAGTACTTAGTTCACAATTGTGTCATTTGTTTTACATTGCGGCAGGTTGTGGTCCACAACCTGCCGTGGAGCTGCCAGTGGCAGCAGCTCAAGGATCACTTCAAGGAGTGGAGGGTGGAACGCGCTGATGTTGTGTATGATGCATGGGGCCGGTCCAGGTGAGACTGTCGCAACGTGTCGCGCAAGGATAGAATTGTTACTGGTGCCTGAAACCCCAACGCCCGGAAGCTGCATGTGTGTGCGCGCTGAATCCCCTCCACTTACACATCGTTCAGCTGCATTGGTGTTGATAGTGCTTAATTGCTGTTTCTATATGGCCACCTTGGAGAATCGTCTACTTGTCCTAAAGATTTGCAACTCGTTACCCGCTCGGCAGGGGCTTTGGCACCGTCCGGTTCGCCACGAAGGAGGACGCCGCACAGGCGTGTGAGAAGATGAACAACAGCCAGATCGACGGGCGCACAATAAGTGTGCGTTTGGATCGGTTTGAGTGAAGGACTACCGGGCGGATGTTGAGGGACAGTTGAGGGACCGCTGAGGATGAGGCGATGATGAGCAGCCCGATAACTTCTCCCCCTCACACGCTCTTCATTGTAGTGCTTCCCCAAGAGAAGAAGACCACTGTGTGTATATGTGCCGTGTGTGAGCGTGTGTGAACCGGCCCCCAGTCCGCCGCGCGGTAGCTGCGTTTTGCCATTGATAGGATAGACCCTGGGTATATTACACACCCACGCGTGTCCGAAAACTATGTATGACAAATCCGCTGCCTGCGTGATTGACGCCGCCGCATAAACGTGCTTTGTTCGGTTGTGTGCGTCTCAACCTTTGGAAGATTAGGGAACAGCTGAAAGTTGCGTTTCGGGCCAGGACAGCATTGTGCTGCGCAGCGGTGTGCTTGCAGCGCAGCCTCTATTGCCCCCCGGGAATGCTCGTGCTGCGGGTTCGGATGCAAGCTGAGTGCCTTGATTGCCATGACTCACCTGGCTGCCGTTTCCTACGGGTTCTCTCATTGAAGGGTCGAGTAGGGAGCGATGTGGCCGGGTTGGTCGTAGGCTGGGTTCTGCAGAGCGACATAATGCGAGCTCTGCGCACCCCGGGGGTTTGGTTGGCTGCCCTGTGCAGCAGCTGCTCACATGCACAGGGACTGGTTGAATGCTATGTTGCTGTGCGGAAGAAGTAACAGCCGGGACGCGATGTCTAGGCATTCGGGACGTATGTGTTTGGCGTATGTGTATTTGGCGGTGTCATGCTGGATGAAAGGGAATGTGAGCTGACCCTGTGAGAAAACTGTCTGATTTTCTCCTCTTGTCTAAACGGTACCTCTTTCGTTACCTTTAACACGTTGCGACCGACCGACTGTGCCCCATGGCCCCTCGGTCTGTTGCGCTGAGCCTCGCCTTCGCGGGTCGACCCGACATCTTCGCCTCCACATGTAACCTCCTCGCCTCATCTTCCTTATCACATTAACGCCACAATTAAATTCTGAACAAAGCTCGCTTACTCCGTCGACTATAACTAGATAATAAGACACTACCAAACATACGCCTATACACAACACAACAGAAACTCCTAAATGACCGATAGAAGCCTAGATGCAGCGTACCCATCACCCGCCAAGCACATGTAGAAGAGAAGAGCATTTCAGCCCTTGGGTGCTACATCAGTTTCCCCGTACCCATGGGACAGGTTGCCGCGTGGGGCGGCAGCTCCGTGCTCATACCCATGCATACACAAGTCAGGCACTACTGGAAAAGCACACACTGATGAGCCCGGAGGTTCCGGGATCGAGACCTATCACGGTCGAAATCCTTCCGATGGCGGTAGGTAAAAGCGCCCCTAGTCGATGGACTGTGGTGACGTGGGATAAAGTTGACCTGCGAGCTGACCAGGAACGGAGTTGAGCCGCCGTTGATCCGGCAGATTCCGTTGAATGCCGGTGCTGAACCTGAGCGATCCGCTGAGAAGTAGGCTAGGGTGACTGGATGAGGGTGCCCCGGAATACCGGGGAAGGCAGGGTCTGCCGGGTAGCGGCTGCAGGTTGAAAAAATGAACCCCCTGTCCCACACATCATCATAAAAATATGAACTGAACATAATCCAGTCCATCCAACATGAAAAACAGCTACCGCCATCTTTTCCCCCACGGCCCCGTTTCCCAGCCCAAGCCGACCTTTCCGGGAACGCCTGCCGCCTAAAATGCCCCATGCGCAGGGCACGATGAAGCTCCGCCATGGAAGTGAACGCAGACCAGTGACGTGGTGAAACAGCGGAACGGGAGGAAGCAGAGGAAGCAGTGCAGTACACGCCGATAACCCCCTTAGCGCCCTGCTGTGCGCTACAGCTGCACCACCGTCTTGTTCATATGCCAACCAGGCACACCAGCTGCCTTGTCTTGCAAGAAATGCTCATACTCCTGTTGTTCAAAACGGATGGAACCTGCCAAGGGCAAAAGCACATCAGCGGGGGGGTTCGTAAAGTTGGGTGGAAGTGCGGCGGGATGGCATCGGAAGAACGCACCGGAAGGGGGGTTGTATGGCGCGGCAAGGAGATGCCAGTGCTACGGTGACCTGGCAACCAACAGCCACGCGGAGAGGAAAATTAGCAGCGCAAGTCCCAATATACCTGCGGTAAACCCTGCAACCCTGCAGCTCCGTAACCCTGACACCAAAGTAGGCCGATCGCAGGCCGATCGCAGGCCGATGTCCCCTTTACAGTCCCCGAGGACCCACCTGGCGGCGGTTTGGTGAGCGCCACTGCGGCGGGTCCCGTCAGTGCTCCTGGAGGCGCGCCCGTCAACCCCGCCAAAGGGTCATGACCCGCACGCAGCGTGTACAGCACCAGCTTGTCTCGGGCCATGTAGACCTCTGGGGACAGCGATTGAAATGAAGTTTCGTTATCGTGATGGAGTTGGGGGAATGCGTTGGATTTGAGGACTTGTCCGTAAGGACAGCAGGGTGAGGTTTGTAGGGCGCGGTCGGAGACCGACGGAGAGGGAAGGTTCAGGGTCAGTAGCGCTGGGTCAGCTACTTCTTATTCCCTCTAGCAAATTTAAGACCAGGCGCTATCACCTCTTCATGAGCGCTAGCGTTGCGCTGCCCTCCAGGGCTGGACCTGAGTGCAAAAGGGGTCCCACCCCTTTCCCACCGACCCCGTGCTGAATGAAGTCTCGAATCCTAGTGCTGGATCGCAGCCGGTCTCAAAACTCAATGGACAATGCATCCCTACCGTCATCCCTACGCCTTTCTAGTTCTCATCGCGACATCCCAGGAAATGGACAAACTATTAGCACGCACAGGGGATACCCACCAGATGACTCCGCCGTCCCCGTCCGACTTGGGTTTCTTCCATCCGCCGGAGAGCTCCCCCCACTCAAGCTCCCGCTAAGATGCCCGCTTCTGCTGCTGTGACCTCCTCTTCGCTGCCCTGGCCCCTGTCGCTCCTGCCGCTCCTGCTGCTGCTGCTGCTGCAACGCCGGCAAGCCTCTCCCGCTGCCTTCACCACGGCTGCTGCCACTAGCGCCTACACCGCTGTCTCTTCGCCCCACGTCCCATGCAGCCGCGGTCGCCCCCACTGCCGTCGGGAACCCTTCATCCTGCTGTTGCTGCTGTTGCTTCTCCTGCTGCTGCCTCCACACCTGCATGGCCCTCACTGTGCCCGCGTTCGGAGGCAGTGCGGAACCCCGAGGGGGCTCTGGATGGGGGTCATGCATCAACATGCCCCTCTCCCGCATGTAGGCTTCGTGGCGCATATTCTCACGTATGCTGGTGGCCTCCTGCGGGGTTGAAGAGGTGCACAGCGGGGAACGGGGTACGCGGCCGTCTCGGTCGGCAGAGAGGTGATTGTGCGGCTTCCAGGTGACCGAAAAACTCCCCACCCAGCCAGGGGCCGAACAGGGAACAAGGTGCTGGGGGCCATGCAGACTCGCTCAGGGCGCACGGTAACTCGTGATGGGGCGTGGGCCACGTGCTTGATTTAGGTCAACACATCATATCAAGAAATTGGGGAGCCGGCGGGGCACGTTATCGTACGATGAAGCCACACGGCCGCAAGCAGCCGGGAGGCGTGCTTACTGACCGCCCGGGAGTGCACACAGCCGCCCGGGCAGGCCCTGACCCGTCCCCATCCCACCTTGGACATTTCCTGCTCCAGGATTGAGCGCTCCGCAACTTTCTCGTCCCACGCTGGGTCGTACGGTGGCACCCGCTTGCCGAACGCCACGGTCAATGTGGCCACGTCGCCGCCAATAAGCCCAGCCGCCTTGCGCCGCTCCAGGGGGGTGATGACGTGCTGGTCCAGCACCTTGAGCGCCGGCATACGGTGGATGACCAGATGGCGGTAGTCGGGCTCCTCGCACATCCTGAGGAATTAAACGAGGAATCAAAAGCAAAGAAGAAATTATCGCGGGAAGTGAGAGCTCAAGGGATGATAAGTTAAAATCGAGACATATATTAAGTTGTTATGCTGCGCCCGCTCCCGTTTGAAGTCGTGTGCACGTGAGTCTATGGCGCTGTGCGACACAACTAGGCCTTGGACTCGGAAATCATTCAACTTGCAGTGGTGCTTTTTTTAATCGCGTGAAACGCGTAAAGGCTACTATTTTGTACATAGGGCAAACGAAAGGTACACCAGTCCACTCTGGTAAGTCCCCGGCTTTCCCCCGCACGTTCGCGGCCCCTCGATCGGCAACCGGGGGCCCCACTCACGGGTTGCCTTTCAGGTTGAGCTCGTGCAGAAACTTGAACTTTTCCAGTACCTTGATCTGCTTCTCGAGGTCTCGGAGCTGGGGGGCGTTTCAGTGGTGGGAACGGGGCAGCGGTCTGTTGGAGGATGGTGCAAGCGAGTCGAGAAGGCATCCGGCCGCGAGAGTAAGTAAGGGTTATCCCCCTCTCATCCCGCTCATTAGAACCCATTCGAAGTGTTGGGACGCGGTGGAGGGGCGTGCTGTCTCTGCCCCGAGGTAGGGCGCGAGCAGGAGCTTCTGGGTTAGCTGTCGAACAAACAGAGCACATCTTCCGACGTTGCATTGCGTTCCGGGTTTAATAAGGGCAAGGAGGAGGGTCAAAACATCCATATGCATATATTATGGGCCTGGATTATGCATCTTTAAGGCTTGAAACTTCCCATCCCTCCTCTCCCAACTTTTTACAGTTGCTTTATGGCTCCCCGGGGTTGGGGCCCGGCATGACATGCAGCGGCAGTGAAGTGCACATGTGCAGACGGACTGGGCATGTGTGCCACTATGGTGTTGCAGCCGTGCGGCCACATTGCTTCTTCCAGCTGCTGTCCTGCCCCCAACCGCCCTGGGGGGTTCCTGCGCCCCAGCCGGCCGTGGTCGTCTGACGTGGCCCTGCCGGAGCCTACGTGGTGCCGCATGAGCTTGATGCGGTGGTCTAATTGGGGGAGCTGGGAGGTGTGTTAACAGTTTCAATGTAACGAAGCTCTGGGTGTGATGCGCGCATGTGTAAGTGTTTCCCCCTGCGTGTAAGTGCTATCTCTTTCGTTTGAAGCGACAACAGTGTCTTCAAAGCTGTGCTTTGGAATGGTCGGGTTACTATTGTGAGGTCGCCCGCCATGGCATCCCGCCATGGCCTGTCATGGGCCCTAATCCAGATGCCCGTGGCCGTTTGATGCAAGTGGGTTGTGGCAGTGCTTGCCTGGTTGTTGCTGAGGTCTAAAATTTCCAGGAACTTGAAATCGATCAGGCTCCCCTTCAGCGTGCAGATTTGGTTATCCTGGGGGTGTAGGGTGGGTGGAGACGAGGCGACTGAAAACGGGGCTTCCAGGTATGACCGCAGAGACGCACGGGACAATCAAATGTAGCAATCCTTGGATGTTGGAATAGAGCTAAGCGCGCGTGGCCCACGTCACAGCATACTGCACAAGGCATGGCCGCGGGGTGTGCACAACGCCCTATAGTTACCTTACATGAGCATAGAGAGCTTTGAGTCGCTTCTGGTTGTCCAGGTTATTCAGCTTCTTCAGCTTGTTGCCATTAATCCACAGGCTCTCCAGGTTTACAAATGGCTCAAACCCACGTATCTTTTCAATGCCTTTGCCACATAGATACATTTCTGTACACTCCTTAATATATTTGGCATTTTCTCCTCCACCGACTAGTTCACGTAGTGGCTCGCTAACAACTACGGCCATTTCCTGGAGATCTAGTTTGAAGTCCCACGTATAGAATAATCTACCGCGTTTCAGCTACACAACAAAATAACGAAGGTGCGGACTACTCGCATGGATGCTCCGTCAAGTCATCGAAGTTTTGTTTGCAAATGTAATAATGAAGAAAGGAATTCATTCTTCACTCTACTTTGTTGCTTCAGCTGCAATAGAGAACTATAATTTTTCATCCGTCGTTTTACAGGTTAAGCACAAAACGATCAACCGTTGCCGTGTGTCCCCTGTCCGGGCGTGCACAGATTAGCGACTCGACGCCTAAATTTCAAAGTTTATAATTTTCATCCATAATACAAGTCCTAAGGTAAGTCCGTGTGCGGGAAGCACAACCCTGTCAGGCACATGGGCCGCAAATCATTAAAAACTCAATGATGGCCAAGCACTTAAGCCTCAAACGCATTATATACGTATCAATTTCCCATCACCAGCCGGCTTTTTTGCAGCTCTAGCATGCTCTCACCGAAGGACTCTGCAACAGGACGGCCCCTTCACGCAAGCGTGCCAGTGCTCCAGCTTGACCTCCGAACTACGCCAAGTCCTCCATATGAACCATATATTACATCTAGCGCTCAAGCCGAAACATACGTAAGCACAACGCACATAATGTGTTCCACGTCTGCCATGCACATCCCTGCACACGACCGCACACTCACGTATGTCGTGCCGTGCCATTCTGCACTGCAGATCGAATGACGGACGCTGCTTATTTAAGATGGGACTGCCCTATCCCTCTGGACACCGCCCGGCTTCTAATGTCGTGGCAACCCCATATCCCAATATCATCAGCAGCTGCCACATATCCTGGTACCTGGATTAAGTCAGCGACTGTTGGTGCACCTTCCCTAGCCATGAGTAGCCCCCGGCAGTCATCTACCGGCCAGCAGCAGAACTTTCTGACCACCAAACCAAACCCTGCAAGGAAAATCCCTACACACACACACATACGGTTAGCGCTGCGCAATGCAATCCGGGGAGATGTTTCCCTCAGCACCGTAGGGAACACATTATCTGAAAGAAGAGCACGAAGGAGCATGCCCAAGCTGAGAAGAAGCATACAACAACAACTAGGACAGTGACATTGCTGCAGCACCATGCTTTCCTCGAGACTGCGTACCAATAAATCTCAACAACAGATTTTGTTCATTAACAGTGTATGCTATGCCAAACTAACGGGATCTGCCTTTCAGCAGGGCATCATGTGCACGTAAGGAAATAGCAACGTTCCGCTCTCCCGTAGAGTCCCGTACGTACCCAAGGGCATGCCTGCCTCGTACCTTATATCTGCCAGCTCACCTCCTGCCACGGCACCTAATCAACCTAATCACCATCTCCTCTTCAGACCCCTAATGGAGCGGACGCCGCCACAATAATATTATTTCCACCGACGTCTCTTTTCCCACCGCCACAACCTAATTTCCGCTAAGCATGCCCTCTACTTCAACGTCTCGGCTTGTATTTGAAATAAGACTCTCCCAATCCTGGAATGCAATCTTTCCCTTCCGCAGCCGGAAAGCAGCAACCAACCTGATCCCCCCCGCGTTAAGTCCCCTCTGCTCATTGCTTGCTGCAATGAAATGCCTTGCGTCCCTTTGCCTACGCTGCTGCTTACGGGATGACGCTGCTGGCCCTGCCTGAGGAGCGCCCCTGCAGGCGGCGGAGATCAGATAGAAGTGTGTCTTCGTCATCACGCCATCACCCTCACCCTTTCACATGAAAGCGTCGCCGAAGCTGATGACCAGGAACACCAGGAACATGATGGCGCAATAGCCCAGCATGATCCAGCTGCGGTAGACTCCGGCGGCTGCGCCCATGCCGGCGTAGTACAACGCCAGGAAAGCCTCTAAAGCGTACGGCCGGTGGATGCGGTGCAGCAGGCCGGTGCCGGTCTGCAGTGTGTCATTTGTAGAGGTGTACGGCAGGAGTGTATGGCGGCGGCGATGTTGAGGCCGGGGGGTTATTTACTTCAGTGATATCAAGGTCCCGCACGAGAGAGCGGGGGAGAGAAAGAAGAGATGCAGCAAAGAATGTTGAATAGTTTGGTGACTTGTTTTTTGCCGACAGTTTGTTGGGGGGATGGCATGCGGTCGCCATCAGGCCCAGAAGGACAACGAGATGCCGCCGCAAACTCGTGGCTACTGACAAAGTCTGACAAAAGCTGGCAAGGACACACATGAGGTGTGTGGAAGTGGCAGCTCCGTACACGGAAGGCCGCCAGCAGACGTGGTTTCGTTCAGATTCAGACCTAGGAGACGGTGCCCCACACCCAGTGCAATTGCTCGCTGCCGCAGCTAAGAAAAGAAGATTTCAAGAAGGGTTATTGTACATTACACCGCACGCCTTCCCGTCGGCCCATGAGTCCAGATTCACACAACAGCCTGCCCTGCACCCGCGGGCCAGCTCCGACCTGCTTTGACCCGAACTTCTGCGTGACCTTCCAGGTCTTGCTCTTCTCCAGCCCCAACAGGCCGCTGACCATGGCCCACAACTTGAAGTAGCCGATGGCCACCGAGAAGAACAAGTAAGCTATGGAGAACGGAGTTACGTAGCTGTGCACATGAGCCATTCATTCGTTAGGAAACGCAAGGCACAGTGTCGCGCGGGAGGGACAGAAGGCGCACGTGGGTTAGGGAAATGCAGAATACACAGCCCCTCCGGACGGAGTGGGGGGTTGCTGGAGTGTTCTAGGCAGGGTTTTATGCGACCTGGGCGACCTGCTTGCACCGCTTCTTCGGTCAGTCCTTGAGAAAGTTACATGCGGTGCAGCCTTGTGGTCTAACGGACTAAAATATGCCTCTATATATCCCTTGTATGTGTGTGTGTGTTACTACAGGGTAGAGTTATCACATCCATCAGTGTGGTGATTCCCAAAGCACTCCCCGCTCGCTTCTCGGAGGTGCACCGCATTGGTACACGGCATGGCTGCAGGAAGCCATGCAGGGCAGGCAGTGCCTAACCCAGTGTACATACCTCTCTTTTGACCTTCCACTTACAGGTAAACCGCCAGCGCAAAGTTGATGGATACAATAAAGTAGATTTGCGGCCAGCTCCAGTCCCAGCTCTCCACCCACATCGCAACAGGCGGCACCGCCAGCACACCCACGGTGATGGCAGCGAACAGGATGTAACGAATGAAGAACCAAAAGGCGTTGAGGCGGCGCCCGATGCCGATGTCCCGGGCACGCATGATGTTGCCGAAGGACTTGGTCAGAATCTGCATCGGGCCAGACAGCCACCTGCGACGGTGGCCGTGTGAGATGCCTTAGACAGACGTGGGCAAATCCAGAAGGCGCAAGATAAGCAAAGGCAGCTGCGGCCAGTAATCGCAAAGGCATCTTTCGTCGTACGGACCTGAATTGCTGGGTCTTGTACGACGACAGCGTGCACGGCAATTCGTTGGAGTTGTCCACGTGGGGCAGGTAGATCGCATTCCAGCCCTTGAGGTAGCAGCGCAGGGACAGGTCCATGTCCTCCACTACCGTGTCACTCTGCCAGCCACCCGCGTCGTGGATGGACTAGCGGGGTGGGGTATGGGGTGTTATGGGCCCCGGGTCGGGTGGGGGCCAATGGGCTTCAGTGGGCTTCAGGGGCCACGAGAAAAATGAAACCAAGGTTAACAAATGATTTGAAAACTCATGGATATGGTTTCTTCACTTCACACACACATATACATAACACACATACATATACATACGTACATACATACGCATTCATCGCCTGTAGTCACATCGGAATTTCACAACCGCAGTGTCCACATGCATCGCACAATTTACTCTCGGCCGAGGCGACCCCCGACCGCCCACCCAGTCATCCACCTGGATCCGCCAGACGCCCGCGGTTCCGTTGAAGTTGAAGAACCAGCCCAGGTAGGAGCGCGAGCGCTGCTCCACGTCGAAGTGAAACCCTAAGTTGACCTTCTGCACAACCTCATGCATGGCGACAAGGAGGCAAGCCGCTAAACACGCAGCCAGATCGTAATGTAGTGGGCAGTAGACGTTCAATCGCGCAATGAGGTGTGCGATGAGAGCGGGTGACCTCCTGCCCGCCCGCTAGCACTACTGACCCCCCCCGCACACAGGCACACACGCACACACACGTACACACGTACCTGTACCCAAGTGAGGAAGGACTCGTTACCGTTGGCGAAGGACCAGCGCGTCTGGACATAGGCCAGGGTTTTGTCGCGGTGCATGACGGGGATGGTCTCCTCCAGGAAGTCCGCAGGCGGGTCGAAGTCTGCGGCCGACAGGTGGCAAGGCGGACTGGACTGCTGAGCAGCGAGGGAACGTAAGAGAGACAGGAGAGCTAGGTAACTAGCTGGGTGGTGCACAGGCAGCTTTCCTATCCTGACTTGCTGTATGGATTGGTGAGGTGGCCTGGAAGAGAGGGAGCGGGGGGTTGTGAATGAGCTGAAGAGACGTGCGGGGGGCGGCGGGGGGCGCCTCAGCGGCCCGGAGCAGGTCAGGGACCGAGGATGAGGCAATGTAACAGATACCGGTCGGGCTACGGTGTTCGACCCCTGCGGGGAGCTTTTTATAGCGGTTGATTACACACATGTATACTCACTTTCACACACACGCTTACACGCACACATACACACACACTACACTTCCCCCTCCCAGGGGAAGGGCGAGCGGAGCTAGCGGAGACCTCGGCTGCCCTCGCGCCCCTCCCCCGTCCGCGAGATAGTGCTTAGGCGGTCCTTCCGTTGGGGCTGGGCAGCAGCCCCTGGCCAATGTCAGGCCCGGTCAGATAATTGGAAATTACGAGCATCATGCTTTTAAACTGTTTTGATTTTCCAGGCAAATTCTCTAAAACTACCGTAACCTACGCACACACACACATTCTCTACACACAGATTCTCTATTTCCATCTATATATAGAGAGAGACACACAGACGCTGATGAAGCGCGCCGGTGTCGGCATTTTAATATCGCCGATTAAGCCGGCGGATACGCATTGATTGCAGAAAGATCTGGTACGCACGATGTCCCTCCCTGCATTTAGATTGGCAATCTGGAGGGTTGGCCAAGCCTGATCTGAAGTCTCTCCTTTCAGCAGCGGGGTGTATACATGAAATGAGCCCCTCTGCGGCCCTCCTGCTGTCACGCACCCACCATCACCTCACACCCACCCACCCGCGTCGAAGATGGCGCAATACTCGAAGCCCAGCCCCTCCACGCGGTTCAGACCCTCCACCATTGCGCCCGCCTTGAAGCCAGAGCGATTGTCACGACGCATCACCTGTGAAAGGAATGAGTCCACGAAAGCAGCTCACAGCGAAGCATGACCACGCTTCAAAAACGCCGCCGTGAAGGCCGTTCCCCGTAGGATAGCCAAATGGCCTTCCGAGTGAAGACGCGGACGTGAATAGATATTATTTGATTTTTTTTCCCATGTGAGTGCGCGCTCCAAGGTGTACCTGGCGTGCTGTTTTGCTATGTGTACATCACACAGAACGGGCGGTTTGCGGAACGAGAATGGTAGCGGCACGCTGGAGGTTGAAGAATGTTGTTAACGGAGCCGCTGCCGTACTGTACACGGGTTACCTAATCGATACAACAGGACAGCGAGGTCGCTCAGGTCCAGGTAACTCCTTTCAAGGGGTGCCCATCGCGGGATCCAGTCGCGTTTTCCCCCTTCCCCTCCCCAACCATCACACCACCAGTCCCAGCCCCAGCCCCAGCCCGCACCTGGACGGGGTCGCCGTTTTCGATACAGAGTGCAGCAGCGGCGTCGACCTTCTGCCGGACCGCTTCCTTCGTACTGTCGTCCAGGACCTGCTTACGTAGACATAGCTAGGCGTCATTACATATGGCCTGGTGTTCTGGTGCAGGGTGTACCCATCTTCCATTTTCCGCTGCGCTTGCAGCGATTTGCAGCCAAGGGGAGGCAGCAAGGCGCCAACAGGGAGCCGAAATCAAAGGAGGTATCCTCCTTGCGAGTAGCAATCCTAGGACGGACCAGACCTATAAGGAAAATGCCAGTCCATCAAAACCCAACACCAATCCACACCGTACCAAGCCCACAAGCGACCGCAAGCCCGGCGGCACCTTCTCAACCGGGGCGAATCCATTCTTCCTCAGCCAAACAACGCAGTCCTAGCTGGCTCCATCTGGATGACCGTGTCCGATGTACGGTCCACATACCAAACCTTCCACACACTACAGACCTGACCATCATCAGTTCCGCCGCCCCACCCCACATTCCACATCACCTGGATCAGCAGCCTGTCACGAGGGTACTTCATGCGACAGCAGGCCTCAATGATGGAGGCAGCATGCGCCTCCTCGTTATACATGGGCAGCTGGATGAGCACCTTGGGGGCCTTGGCGCCGCCCCATGGGTCGTCTGGGGGGCGTGTAGGTGCGTACGTGTGCAGGCCGCGTCAGTGGATGCGAAAAGCGTCTCTCGTGTCGTATAACGACGTACCGTCCCATCTCGTGCGAGTTGGGCCATTAGCTCGTGTGAATGGGAGGAATAAGGCGAGTAAGTCGCACATGAAAAAAAAACACACCTAAAGAGCCTTTAGTATCTTAAATACGATCTGAGCGATAAAGTAAAAAAACGTTTGTTACAGGACCAATGACCCCGTCTTTGTGCATAAAGGGGATCAGCGGTGAGGGTCGGAGGGCGCTCCTGATCAGCTGTGTTCAATTGAGTTCTCGCCCGGCTGCCCGCCTGCGGTACCTACCCGAGTTGCCCGGCTCTCAAAACCGTCCATTGACACACGGCTGGATGTTGGATTCAAGTTTGCCTCACATGCCGACAGACAGACAGACAGACAGACAGACAGACAGACAGACAGACAGACAGACAGACAGACAGACAGACAGACAGACAGACAGACAGACAGACAGACAGACAGACAGACAGACAGACAGACAGACAGACAGACAGACAGACAAACAGACAGACAAACAGGCTAAGATCCCTACCTGCATCCGTGTCGCACCGGGCTTCTCACCTGGGATGGTGATGGCGGTGCCGGGTGCTGCCGTCACGATGTTCTCCACCCGTGGTGCGTTGTCGTCATCGCTGCTGCTGCTGCCGCTGTCATCGTCACCCTCCTCTGCGCTGCTGCTATTGTAGCCACTGCTGCCGCTTGGGTTGGGCTCCAGAGAGCCTCCGACAACGATACGCCCAGCAGCCGCCGCAGCAGCAGCGGCACCGCCGCCGCCGCCAATAGCTCTGCCGCCGCCGGCAGCACCGCCACTTGCCGGCGGCGACAGAGCGTTTGCGCCGGGGCTGACGCCAGCCGCCGAGGTCACATCAGAGACAGCGGCTGCCGCTGCCGCTGCTGCCTGCTGCTCTTTCTTTTTCATCTCCAGCTTCTTTCTGCGGCGGTCCTTAACCTTTTTGCGGAGAAGGGCCGCGACCTCAGCGCTTCGGGCGATGGCAGACACGATGACCAGAATCAGCAGGTCCATGGCGTAGACCGTGAACAGAATGCCGAGGGACAGGTAAAAAATCATGGTCGCCGGTTATGCTGAGCTCAAGGTGCTCGTTTTCCTTCCACGGTGGTTGCTGCTACTGCTGCTGCTGCTGCTGCTACTATTGGTGTTTTCCACGGCAGTGGGTTATCTCGGCCTCTGGATCGAACAGGCCTTTCGGAGGGAGGGGGGTGTTTCGGCGTATGGCACTGGTGGCGATGGCAGCAAGGTTCTGGCGCCTCTTGTACAGCGCCTGTCGCCCAGGGCCATCACAGCGACCACAGGTAAGCGCAGCAGCAGTAGTGCAAATAAGTCAGGAGGGGGGCGTGTGAGGCTGAGGCTGAGGCTGAGGGGGGAAGCAAGGCCTCCCTTTTCATAACAGCGTTGACGTCGGCGGCTATGGTAATGGGAATGGGTGTTGCGTGGAGGGTCGTGCGGGTGCGCGAATGAATGTGCATCTTATGAGCGCGCTTGGAGCAACGACTCACTGGCGCGGTTTACAGGGCTGCGCTATGGCTAGCGACTTGCAAAATCAGTAAAAGCGGGATTTCAGCGGGATTTCAGAGAGCCAAAACAGGCACCTCTCAACGCGCACCAGGGGGTCTGACGTGCTGCCAGGAGAGGCTGGGGACGCCTACTTCGTCGCTGAGCTGAGGTACAAGTACTCCGAGTAATCACCGACAACACCGGATTCACACTGCTGAGTGAACTCGGCGACATGATGAGGGCCTGGAGTAGTGGAACTGGTGATTTTGCGAAAAGGATGCGGGGATACGGCAGGGTGTGATGTTACGAGGTACCAAGGGTATCACCACTGGTTGATGGGTCGTTGGAAGTTGGTTGACGGGTCGTTGTGAGACTTGCCACACAGCCCGCCTCGCGGCTACTACGCACCCTTTGGCCACATCCCCAAGGAAGGCCCCAGGAACATTGGAAGGAAAAAAATACTGAAAGCCTATGTGTAAGAACTTAATAATCAGTTGAATGATGATGCTGTGGAGGGAATTTGTCGGTGTCGTAACGCCGAATCGTTCGCCTAGATGTTTCGTTAATGCTATTTGGCGTGGAAAGCAGGAACCGCCATCCATGGATTGCAGGGTCGCTGAAATGCTAACAAGGAACCTGAGTACGTTTCCAGGCAAGAACAGGGGCATCAGAGTTCGTGACCGATCTGATGTTACCAGTCTGTAGTCTGACTTAGGCCCCCCGGTAAGACCCGCTATCCGGGGGCACCGTGATGTGGGCTGCAGCACCGGTGGAGGAGAGGCTGCTCAGGAAACGTGGGAACTGCTCAGGAAACAGCCCCCCAGACCGGGAAGCGCGGTGCTGGGGGTTTTAGGGGGCATCGCACTATATATAGTGCGTTTGGAAGACCGCTTCGTTGCGACGGTGCAAGCTGGTGAAAGCAATTGTAGCCACTTTAAACGCATTGTGCGCATTAACTTAGGAGGATCAACACGATAATGCAGTTAACGGAAGCTGAAACTGGATCCACATCGAACGGGTTCAAAAGGCTTTTCGGAATGGAAGTGTGCTCAGATGTGCTTCGCCGTGCTTTGCGATGATCGTGGCCATGCATGGGAATTAGCGTAATTGAATAGACAGCCAAGCATACAAGCAGGCGGCAATTTTGATTATGAAGCGAGGCTCTATCAAAGCTTTGGGGAGCTACGACAAATAGACAGGCACTGCAAATGAGGCAGAGTCTCTGCGAAGTGCGATCACGTGCCATTTTCGGGTTCCTGGATTACAGCGCTCCACTTGGCCACCTCACAGGTTCAACGCCCCTAATCAGTCCTCCAGCCCGCCCAACTTCCTGGTCCTTGCCAGTCTGTCTGGAGTTTGTTTCTGCCTGGTGGTGGTGGTGTCAGAACTGCAGGGATCGCCTGCTGGCGGGCTTACGAAGGGCCCAAGCACCCCCGGAAACCGCTGCACCGGAACCACTGCTGGACCCCACCCCTCGAGCCTGGGAGGGGGTCGAGAAAGGGCCAGATCCCGGAACACCTCCTCACTGCTGCTGCTTGGTGCTGCTGCTACTGCTGCTCTCGGAGGGTCCACCGGATCGGTTGGCATGGGATCCCCCCCGGGGGGAAGCCGCCGCGGCCGCGGCCGCACTCAAGAAACGTAATTACCGCCAGCTCACCTACCCCGCCCACCACACACACCAACACCAACACGCATATCCTCACTTGCGCACACACCCCAAGGCTTACCCCCCCCCCGAAATGGCCCTAGGGACTCCCAAGCCAGCAAACACGACTCCGGGACGTCCGACGTAGTCTTTCCCCCCGCCCGTAACCCCCCTCCAACGCCCCGTCCGAGTTCGGATCCAACAGCGTTCATCAGGATCCAAATCCAAACCCAGGAAGCCCCCGGGTCCGGTCCGCACTTGTCAAAGGGTCCCGAGTCTCTCTTTCTAGCCACCTCAAATCAAAGGGAGCCTCTCCTGGAGGAGCTCCCCCACCAGACCAAATCAATTGGAACGCCACACCCTCACATCCCTTCATTCCACCCCACCCCACCCCACCCCACCCCAGGGGGCCCCTCCCAGCTCAATCAGCCGCCCCCTTCGCTACTTGAGCTGTTTGAGCGCCGTGCCCTGGCCCTGGAAGAATATGAAGGAGAGGAAGAAGTCGGCGATGAAGATGGTGACCAGCGATATGACCACGGCGCTGGTGGTGGACTCGCCAACTCCCTTAGCCCCGCCGCTGGTGGTGAAGCCCCAGGCGCACGAAATCTGCGAGAGGGCGCCAGAGGGGTGAGGAGGGTGCGAGGGCGATGCAGGAATGGCTGCTAAGGAATGGCTGGAACAGGGGCATGCACAGCTGGGGAGGGAACGGGGGGAAGATTTATACACACACATACACACATACATACGTGTGGGTAAACGCTAGTTAGACGTCAGGAAGGGGTCGATGGGGTTTGGGCTGGACTGATGGGACGAAGGGGTTTACGGAGGGGCCCTTTTGACACCGCCCGCCAACCCTGGGTCCCTTAACACGCACACCCACACACACTTCTCCTCTCATACACCCTCTCCTATCCGCCAACACAGCGCGCCTCTTCCCCCCTCCCCGCCCCCTTTCCACACCCACCGTTGCCACCACCGTGCCGAATACCCAGCTCTTGACCATGCTCGTCAACACGTCGTACGAAGTCAACGCACGGCGTGCCGAGTCAACAATGACGTTTGCAGGCACGTTGTACACCAGATCCGCAAGCAGTACGGCGGCGCCCATACCTTCGGCGGCAATGTATTTAAAATACACCGTGGGGCCGTCATGGGATGGGTAGGGTAGGGTAGGGGAACGGGGCCCGGGGGAGGGGGGATACTTAGCGCCACCGCTCCGTTAAGAGCGCCCACGGCGAGGGGCGTGACGGTGGAGATGGAGATGGGTTGGAGGTGGAGGTGGCAGCCTGGGTTAGCATGCAGCCTTCCACTTCCCCAGGGGACGTGGAGTGCCAGGTCGCTCCCGGGGGCGGGAACAATCAACAAATGATGAGAAGAGAAGCGGGGCCCCCTCCTGCGGCAGTTCAGAGGCAGCACCCCCCCGGTATACAACCCCCCCCCAGTGCTTCCCCCGCAGCCCGAACTCCCCCCCCCACACACAAAGCCAGGCCCCCAATCTCCGTAAGGCCTTAGAGGAGCCGCATCCCCCACAACCCGATTCCCCCTGATTCTTAACAGTCCAGGGAAGCGGAGATATCAGGCCAGGTCCGGACCCAAGGTAACGGACCTGGGCAAAGCTACAACTCCCTCCCCGCACGCAACCCCCCCTACACACACACACACCAGTCGGGCCAATCCCCCTTCCTCCTCTACCTCTCCCCCCCCTAAGGCATGTTGCCCTCTCCATTCTCCCCAAACACCCACTGGCACTACCACTACCACTACCATTACCACAACCGCAAACACACATTGCCCCTTCCCCCTTCCCCCCCTCCCCCATCATTCCACCACCCGCTACAGCTCATATGCACTATGCTTAGGACTCACTCACTGGGGGCAGTTTCCAACTTTGGACGGCGGCAGTCCATATCCCTTCTCGTTTCCCTGTTCGCAGGTGATTCCCGGCCCCCCCCGCCCCGGCCCGGCCCCCGCACGCACCCATACAGAAGCACAGCACGTTGAGTATGGGTCCCGCGATCATGGACGCCAGCACCCGGGGCGTCACCAGGTAGTCCACCGGGTCCGTGAACAGCACCCGCAGACTGTCCATTTGCTCCGAGACCTGCAGAGGAGGCGGAGGAGGAGAGGGAGGAAGGGGAGGGAGGAGGGGGAGGAGGGGGAAGGAGGCGGTGGGACGGCGATGGGAGACATTCAACGAGAGAGAGGTAGGTGAGGTAGATCAGCGGTTGCAGGTGTATGGGCTTGTTTCACACACAAACATACGTAACATACATATAAACATACATACATGCATACACATGCAGAGCGGACGGGTTGCAGCTGGTGGCGGAGCGGGTTGGAGGCAGACACCACCCATGATTGGGTTCACGAGTGCGGGTTAGCCGTCAGTATCCTCCGCCGCCGCCTTGTCCTCCTCCTCCTCATCATCATCATCATCATCACCATCATCATCATCATCACCACCATCATCATCATCATCACCCACAGCGCCGAGGGGAGGTGTAATGCCCCGGTTTCAACACCACACGCTCCCTTCACTGAAGGCACCTTTCCCCCCGGGGAGGGGGGCGCGCCATTCCCCCCCTCCTGCACTCCTACCACTTCCTTTAGGAATAAATCCCCTAGTAACTGGGTTTCCCTTAATCCCTCACCCACCCGCCCCACCCAGCGCACAAAACTCCCGGCATATATGGAAACATACATACATACGAACAGACAGGTGCCCTACCTAGGCAACCACACCTGCATTGTTCCCAGCTCCGCGGCGAAGGCCGACCCCACCCGACCCGCCAGAATGATCGCCGTCACCACGGGGGTGAGCTCGCGGGACAGCGCCAGAGCCAACACGCCCCCCACGGAGCGAGTAAGGCCCAGCTTGGCAAACTCCCGAACGAACTGCAAAAGGTCAGGAGGGAGAGGGAGAGGTGAGGGAGGGAGAAGAGGGGGGAGCGCGAGGGGAAAGAAGGAGGAGGGAGAGCGTGGGGAGAGGGGAGCCCCCAGGGGGTGGGGAGGGGGTTCGGTGTTGTGCGTCGTGTGGTGGTTTGGTCGGAGGCGGCGGGAGGCCAGGGGGGTCGTTGTTGAGACGTGAAGGTGTTTGTATTGTGGAAAAGACAGGCGGGTGGAAACAGGATTCAAATAGGATTTGGGGGGGGTAGAGAAGGGGGTTCCCGGCTCTGCTTCCGCAGGCCTGTCAGCTTGCATATGGCGGCGGGGTCGGTCATTCCAACCCCTCCCCCCAGCGTCCCACACCCCACCTGGATGGTGAAGACCATGCCCACGAAGCCGGCTGTCAAAAGCGAGACACCCAGAGATGCGGGACCTACGAGTCGCAGCTGCTCCACCGTGTTACGCCAGTGGATGTTACCTGCGTGGCAAAATACCGTTTGATGATGGCCCGTTGGAAAGTGCGCCGTCCCGGGACACGTTAGGGTTAAGGACATAATTGAGCCGTGCTTACCTTTAAATATCCGCAGCACGACCTGCCCGCCCAGGACCAGACAGGCGACGGACCGGAATAGCCATTTCGGAGCTTTGTAGCGGTCAAGGGCCTTTAAGATACCTGAATCCCAGTCCCGAAAGCGTGCGCGTCAGCTTTACACCTCTTGAACGATATGGTTGATGCTTGTAAAGGCCCAGCGCTGACCTGGTGCGTCTGCCGTCTGCGACATAGGCGTCGATTCCCGCTCTTCAGGCTCAGGCGCAATCGCATCCAAGGTAGAATTTGCTGCTTTAGCAGTAAAATTTCTGGAACACTTGCAACACCCTGTTCCCAAGCGATGCGGTGTCGCGCATGGACCAATGGAGGTAACACGCCGAACAAGAGGTGGCAGGATTGCTATATGCGGCGCCGTGGGGCCTGCCATCAACCCCAAGCGGCCCGAAAGGGCCATGTTAGACCTTGGCTTATGCAAAATTGTCGGCAATTATGAGCTCGGTGTCCTGGAAAAGGTGCACGTTACATTCAATTGTGAATGTTAACCAGTAGCATGGAGTCTGCACAAGGTAACTCTTAACTGCAAAAAGAAAATCTAACTGCACAGAGCATTACGCATCTAATCAGCTCCGTACAACGGTTTTGCCGTACCGGCATGCAGAACCCATAAGGCTAAAGCACCGCTGCGTCAACTATGAAAGCCACAAGTAGCCCTCCCTAACACATCCCACTAACGGCCGCCAGTCAGAGGCACCGCATGCTCCAGCCTCGCTAAATGGTTGGCACATGGTTGGCTGGTTCTGATCTCCCGTCTCGGGGTTGCGGATTGGGACCTCATTCCAACCTCCGACTATTCGCAAGACTTCTGGGATATATAGGCGAGGTACCTGTATCTGCTGACTGTTTCTGAGGGAAACCTGGCGCCCAAGGAGCCCCAAAGCTCCCCCAATTCAACGGGCGCCGCAAGAAGGGCCCTCGCCGTGTCTGTGTCTGCCAGGTGCTAAAGCCCTCCTGCAGCCCTCACATCCCAACATCCCACAGGTCGGCCCTCACACCCTTCCGTCGTTAGATGTCTGCGAGGGTATCCAAATCATTTTGCGACGCTCGCCAACACACACGGCACCTCACACAGGCGTGCCCCATGCTCCGTCCTTCGTCACGTCCTTAATCGGTGCCGTACCGTACGGCAGAACAAAACACGATTTCCCCAAACTCCAGCCATTCGAGTTCAGCAGCCGGGCAGGTGCTGCCCTCTGCGCAAGTTCGAGTAGGGCCCTCCTTTCCATGTGCTCAACTCATTAGTCCATACATCCATCTTTCATTTGTTTCATTCCTTCTGTTTCACTTCTTAAGTCAAAGCTTTAGTGTCTTAGTCCTTTCCTCATAAGTACCTTGTATTGACCTGGTGTTTTATTATATTGCAAAAAAATTATTCCTTCCAGATTCCCCTCCCCTCAAGTCGTAAGCTGTTGCGTGTTGTTGAGGCCTGTGCGCCGCTTCCTCCGCCTCCTCCTCCGCCTCCTCCTCCTCCTGGCGATGAGCTTATTTGTTTGATAGTCTTGCGATTCCCGCTGCACCACCGCCACCCGTTGCAGCGCTGATGCGGGCGCAGGTTACAATGCTCTATTCGGCTTATGTAACATCGAAAACGGCACAAGCCTTCGCGAACCCGCCCAAGTCCTCCTGCCAAATGGCAGTGAATTAAAGTCGTACTGCTGAGCAGGGGGCTTTAGGTTAGGATGAAAAGGATATCACCAGCAGACTTCATGCGCAAGGCAAGGCGTTCTGTGACCTCGTACCGCAAACTGACGGATTACACAACGCATGAGGACGTGTTGGTTTCCTTTTCTCTTTCAAAAGTGTTTTAACGATCTGAGCGATAACGAGCGAGAAGGATCCTCCGCTGCCGAGATAGCTGATACCGTGTTCGAAGTGAATGAAAACATTTCCATATGTTCGTGTAGGTTGCAAGTGCGGCGCCGGCGGCGGCGGCGGCGTGTCCTCAGACCGATTACATGCGTTTTTCATAGACGTAGCTCCAGGCGTGTGGCATTACGAACGGGACTCCAGGAAAAAGGGTTCTCTAATGGGCATATCTGGGCCCGCAGGTGCCGCAGAGCTGTCGTACACTGAACAGCACCGTGAATCTCCTTCCCGACTTGTAAACACGCCAAGGCGCAGCGGCTGCAGCTGCTGCTGAGAGCGGCGAGGCGGAAGCTGTTGTGAGGCTGGAAGGCGACAGAGCCTAACGTACATTCGCTTCGTACATCCTAACGTACCTTGCATAGTTGCAGATAACCGCTCCAACCTTGCTTGCTTGCTTTGCTCACTTTCAGCAATGGCCAGATGACAGCCCACTGCTACGAAGTACAGCCATATCGGTAAACTCCCCTCCACAACCAGTAGTAGTAATGGCCACTCGTCACACCCGCCGCCAGTACCCAATACCCGCCCACCCAACACTCTGGCGGTGCCAGTGGGTCCCTGGCAGGGGGAGACCACTCGAAACACAATTACTTCCCGTCCAACCATCTTTCCCCCCAGACATATCCCTACAGACATACAGACATACAGATAAAGCTTGCTTGTGCCTTAAATGGGCTCCATCCGACCATCTTTACCTAAGGGGCGGCACGAACGCAACGCAATCCCAATCCTGGCCATGGTCCTCTGGTCGCCGCTGCAGCGCACATAACATCCCCGAAACCCATACCCGCATTACGAGGTGGCGGAAAAGCATGCGGATGCAAATCACATGTACGACATGTACGACTCACAAACATTACCAGCTAGGTCGGCGGCGCGTATGTAGTCTGTTACGTGCACTCGCAACTCCCCCTCTTCCCCGAAGGGGAACATTGCGCCTTGGCACTGGTTAGACTGTATCCTTCCACTCCTCTTATCGACCGACCGCACCACCACACCTACATAAACTACTCCCAAGCCATCGCACCCAGGCTGCCGCCAGGTAACCCCCAGGCAGAGCAACAATGAAACAACTGAAAACTGAAAAAACCACCCCAGGTTCTTAAGCAGGTGACGCGACGGGGATGATGCCTACCTGTAAAAACCCTAGATGACGGTCTGTCGTGCGTACGTCAGCAGCAATAACCAAATCATACAACGCCCAAGCACCAGGCCAGCCCACTTTAGGTCGGGTCCCCCCTCCTCCTCAACAGAGCGGTTCACTTGACACAACGAAACGAGCAAGCCGCCGTGCACCGAGCAAGTTACCCACATAGGGTAGGTAGATAGGTAGATAGACAGATAGATACACACGCAGTCACGCACATATATATGTGCCAACGAACTGCCAAAACACACATATACCTACACACACACCGGTGAGCTAAGCGATACGACCATATGGACCATATGTTGAAAGTTAGATGCGTCCATCCATCCATCAATCGTGTGACTGAATGGTGAGATGATGTGCATGTGCAGCCTCGGTCAACAGAACCCGGGTGGGCGCCCCAAAGGAGCGTCTCACCCACCAACCAATTAACCACCAATCAACCAACCAACCACCCGAGGGAGCGAGTGTCTCAAGCTCATGTATACCACGAGTGCAGGCTGCTAGGCTCGAAGTAAAATATCTAGATGCTTTTGTTCCGTCCCGAGACGTACTCGTACTCGGACTCGGCCTTCAACCGGCGGTGGCAATGAGGATCACTCGTCATGCTGCGCTGCTTTGGATGCATTGCCAGTAAGGACGTGCATGATGCATACTCGGGAAGGGTGCATCGATTTTTGTATGTATGCATCTGTGCACAAATGGTAATCAATGATGGAGAATATGCGTATGGCTGTGACTATGTTTGTATGGGTGTATGTATAGGTGTATGTATGGGTGTATGTATGGGTGTATGTATGGGTGTATGTATGGGTGTATGTATGGGTGTATGTATGGGTGTATGTATGGGTGTATGCATGCATGTATGATGTGTGGAACAGGGGGATAAATGTATGTATGCATGTATGTATGTGGCACCCATAGCTACGCCTAAAGGCAATGCATGCAATTTCGAGAACGCGCCAGCAAGTAATAGAACCCTTTTAGATCAGGCAAATCATGAAACACAGCAGCAGCAGCAGCAGCAGCAGCCCCCACAGCAGCCCCCGCGATGGGATACGAGTGCACTCACACAACACAAGTACACAAAACCACACACAGAAAAATCAATGCACAACTCCGTCCCAACAACGAATTGTGCTCATGCGGACACACGGCTAACGAGCAAGCAGATCTAGAGAAACTATTACGTCACCATGTGGTGTACGGCGCACGCATAACACATGCTTGCCTGCGGGCTCAGGTCGGCCGTCCACAGCACAGCATGTCCCGTATGGCGACGCGTACATACATCAACAAAAGGCCGACGAGGCGCCTAAACGACATTCCCCTCCAAGCGAACGACCGGGGGACCACCTCTCCCCCCCCCCATACACACCCAACACACACACGCACAAGGGGCTCGGCCAAGCTTTGCGTGTACAAGCGTTGATGCCGTTCCGCGCTGCTGATGTACGGCGGGCTCTGTAGGTGCAGGTGCTCGCACGATAGCGCAGCGGCAGCAGCTGCGGCAGCAGTGCTACTAGCATCTAGCCACCGTTCACACCCTCACATCCCCCCACGCCCCTCCCTCCCCCCCACCGCCTCAGCCGCTGTCGCGGGGTTCGCCATTCCGCGGGGTTGAGGCTGAGAGCCCGTTCAGCTCAAACTGCAGCCGCTCCACATCGAGCTTGAAGCTCCCCGCATCCGCCACACCCTCATACACAGCAGGCGCGCCACCGTCAGGCCAAACCTGCATACGTACATACATACATACGTACATACATGTATGCATATGTGGTACACAACTACACACTCCTGCTGCTGCTGCCGCCAGGCAAGGGCCCCATTCGACTGAGCATCGAGGCGCTTACCGGACCAAACAAAGCACATACGTACATACGTACAAACATGCGCCCCGGGGGGGCATCGACTTCCGGACTGTGAAGGACCTCAACAGCAGGCAAACGGACGGCAGTAGTTGCCGTACACGCGGAACGCCATTCACTGCTACCGGCCCTCACAACCACCCCGGTAAATAGTGGCGGTTGGGTTGGTTGGGAGTGGGGGTCGCGAACTCCTTACAAGCTAGCTCCCCTTACGACATCAACACATGCCAGGTAAGTCAGTCAGTCAGCCAGCCAGCCAGCCAGCCAGCCAGCCAGCCCCGACCCAACCCCAAAGCCCATGTTCATTCAAAGGCCGGGTGTACACCCCAAGTCCAGGCCCAAGCCGCAGCTGCAACCGCCACCGCTCACCTTCTGTATGGCCCTTTCCAGCACGTCGCGGGCCTTAGAACCCCTGAAGTGCTTGTTGAAGGGTGTCAGGTCCGTCAGGACGACCTGCCGGGGCGGTTGTGGCCGGTGCGGCGGCAGGTCGTACCGTAGACAGTTTTAAGGAGGAGGGCACGAGGGAGGGGTATGCAGACAGCAGAGCACAACTACTACTATTACTGCCGGTTCGTCAGTCAATGCAGGGTGTTATTGTGGGGAGGTTGAGAAGGACGGAAAGAACGCAGGGTCCTCGTCCTCCTCCTGCTGCTGCTCCTGGTGCTGCTGGTGACTATTGAGAGGATTGGGAAGGCTGTTGGGTCAGGGGTCGGGGTCAGGGGCCACGAGGCGCGCACGCGAGCGCCCAGCTACCCACACCACACCACACCACACCTAGGTTCATGGTGGATGCCTCTGTAAGCAAAATGCAACAGGGGCACCAAGGGACACGCCACAACAAACCAAACCACACCATGGCAGCTAAATCTCATTATATAACAAGCGCTGTGTCGCTGAAACCCCGTCCCAGCTCCCACCCCCGCTGGCAGCCAGGGAGACCAAACAGCCACCCCAACCCCCCAACAATAGCAACAACAACGCAATGCCGCCCTCCCTCCCCCAGCCCCCTCTCACACCCACCTACCCAGGCCCAACCACTCACATTCGCGATGCCGCTGGACACTCCGTTGCCCCGGTCAAACAGCCCCAGGTCCCTGGCTCGGCGCAGGTACGCCACCGCGGCCTCCAGCTGGCCCATCCGGCAGGCGATGTGGAGGGGCAGCCAGCCGTCCTTGGTGGCCACCACCAGCATTTCCGCATTGCAGCGGGCCAACAGCCACTGCTGCACCCTAAGTAAACCGTACCTGCAGTGCAGTGGTACAGGACGAGCACACCAAACCATGTGGCGGCAGAAGAGGAGGCGGACGAGGAAGAGGAGGAAGAGGAGGAACGAGTACACAGGTGTTGCAATGGACAGGCACAACTCAGACATGCATCATGCCCTGGGTGTTTCAAAAGGGTGCTCCAGTGCTCTAGAGTATGGTGTGGTGCGGATTGGGGCTGATGTGGGGGAGGGGGGGACAGTCGCGGGGATGATGGGGGAGTCAGGAGTGAGCAGGAGATCTGTGTACTGCCAAGAAAACACACACGCACGGGTGCCGACGCGTCGCGATCCTCACTTGGCGCACGTGTGGCTCGGCGTGTCAAAGGAGACTTTATCTTGCTGAATCAGCAGCTTGCGGTAGGCGAATTCGGCAAACTTCGGGTCCTCTTCGGTCAAGCGCTGTAGCACCACCTCAAACGTGTGGATGACCCGCTCCTCAAGCGCACCACCACCATCACCACCACCATCGCCGCAGTTGCCGCTGGTACTGCCAGTGCTGCTGCTGCCAGTCTCGCCGGCAGCATCATTTCCCCTGCCGGCTCCCGAATCGACTGCCGCATGCAGCATCAGGCTGAACAGTCCGTAGCCTTTATCGTAATCGTAATCCCGCAGCCGCAGCAAGTCCTTCACAGTGCCCAGGCTCTTCAGCACACACACACACACACACACACACACGCACACACACACGGGGGCAGAGCCGTGGGGGGGGTGGGGAGGAGGGGAAACCACAGCGAGAGGGGGGAAACAGCAAGAGGGGAGGAGGGGGAGTGCGTGTGCTTCCTCATGGGGGGAGAGGGAAGCGAGAAACAGAAGCGATGTGGACCATCACAGCGGAGTGTGCAGCTGCGCACAGCGAGGGGGCACCGCAGATTTTGGAAGTGCAACAGGGCAAGAGAGGTCAAAGTGGGGAGATGTTGGCCATCTCGCAGGGGACATGTCGCGACAAGCACGGCACATGCCGAGCATACATACATACATACTAGGCAGGTGGCTGGCAGAAGTTAAGGACTAACTTCTGCTCCCGGAGGTTCCGGGTTCAAATCCGCCTGCCGACCCCTCGGTGTGTGCGGGGTGTTGAATTGGGAGGTGGCCCCCCATCTTGTGGACGGTGTAGGACGTGATTATATCAACTTGCGAGCTGACCAGGAACTAAGTTGTGCCGCCGTTGATCCGCTAAATTTGGTTGGATGCTGGTGGTGAGTTGCTGAACCCAACGAATACATTCTGAAGTTGGATGGGGTGAATGGACTAGGGTGCCCCTCTCGCAGGGTAGAGCAGGGAACTGCCTCGGCAAAGGGGGCCGCTGGTGAAGCTTAACCACCCTGTAACGACATACATATCTACATACATATACATAAATGCATACATAGATACATACCCGGATGATGTCTCGAAGTTCGTTCTCCATCATGTCGCACGGCTCCACCCTCACGTACTCCCGCATGAACGCCACCAGCTCCTGCACCTTGGCTGCCAAGGGATGGGCCGTTGCCGCCGGAACCGACACTGAAGGTGCAGCCCGGGTGGGCATCGCCCTGGCCCCGGCTGCGACCAGGCCGCCATCACCGCTGCCACTGCCGGTCATGTCAGGGATCGCCGCTGCAGCCCCTGTAGCTGCCACCACCTCTCCTGCCGCAGGCCTCTTTGCGCGATGCATCTTCATCCGGTCATCATCGTCGCCTTGCGTGGCTGCTTCTGCTGCTCCTGCTACTGCAGCGAAGGCTGTGGGTGCGGCTGAGGTTGTTGCTGCTGCTACAGGTTGCAGCTCAGGCGCGCGCCAAGGCAATCCAGCCGCGGGCTCGGCGGCCATCAACGCTAATGGTGACGGCTGCTGCTGGTGCCACTGCTGTTGCTGCTGGTGGAGGTGGGGGTGAGAGCTAATCGCGGTCACGGCACCTCCTCCACCGCCACCAGCTGCCGCAGCCGCACTACGAGTCACCACCCAGGTATCCGCCTCGCTCGCCTCGCAGGGAAGACCTCCTACCTCCGGCACTCCAGCGCTGGCAAGCCCGCCGCCACCGCCGCCGGCAGCAGCAATGCCATCCTTCTCCTCCGTGGCCCCCATGAACTGGCCGCCACTGTAACCACTAACGGCAGGGTGCCATACCGCCTGAAGCGAGGTGCCGGAGGATGCTGCTGTTGGTGCTTCTGCCGAGATGCCGGGAGGTGCGGCAGTAGCAGCCATGGCACCAGCAGAAGCAGCATATCGAGCAGTCAAGGCTGCGTTCAATTCAGGTTCGCAGAAGGCCATGGGGCCTACTGCTGGCGGCTGTGGCAGCATAACATTAGTACTGCCACCATACTGGTGCTGGCTTTCGTAGCACGTGCTAGACAGTGTGTAGGAGTTGTCACTGTCCGAGAAGAACAGTCCTTGCCCTGCCGCCGCGCCCACAACGTAGCCGTACGGCTGCTGCTGCTGCTGCCCAACCGGACCATCCGGCACCGGGCCCGATGGCACCTCTTGCTGCTGCCGGGTCGTGGGCCGCCAACCAGCTGCGGGCCCCACTGTCCCGTGAGCAGGAAGAGCTGATGACCCATCATCCGGTGCTGATGGTGCTGCTGCTAATGCCGATGCTCCACAAAGGTTCACCCCCGACAAGCGGGGTGTCAGGGGTACCATTGCTGGTGCTGCTGGTGGTGCCTGCACCGGGTACAAATGATGGTGCTGGTGCTGCTGCTGGTACTGTTGTGGCGGCGGTGATTGCCGCTGCTGATATTGGTGGTGGTGGTGCTGCTGCTGCTCTGCCTGCTGCGTATCGGGATAACAATGGTAATCACGATACTGAGTTGGCGCCTCCTGGAAAGGCGCCGACGGCGGCAGGGGTGGTGGAGCTAATGCCTCCGCCGCCGCTGGCGCCGCCGCCACCACTGCCGCCAACGAGGGGGGTTCCCCCACAGCAGACGACAGAGGCCAGACGTGTGGAGGCAGCGCGGCTAGCCCCCCCTGCTGCTGCTGCTGCTGCTGCTGCTGTTGACGACCGCCCACGGCTGGTCGCATGGGGTGCGAGCCGCTCCCTCCTGCAGCGGCTACCTCATGATAGCTGCTCCCCGACAGGTTAGGACTGGGGTCCTTGGTGGGGCTGGGAGTAGCCGCTGTCTCAGCAGTGGCAGACGAGGGCCTCGGGGCCGCTTCCTTCTTGAGCTTCCTGCTGGAGGGCGCGTTGACCGTGTACCTGCAGCGCGAGGTGTGGATGGGTGTTCGCGTTCCGTGCGCCGTGTACCCCCCTTGTCAACACACACGTGACATGACGACCGTAATCCTGAAGATAGCGTCAAGACGCGTGCCAGCATATGTATGGTTACCACCTACAGCTCCTGCTGTTCCTGTCGTACTTCTTGCCGTATATGTGCCCCAAAAGACAAGCGAAATCCCCAAATAATCCATAAATGCAGCTAGGAGACAATATCCCATACATCGGAAGAATTGTATGTATTCATGTATGTATATATGTATGTATGTATGTATGTGGAGGTGCGGGTGCCATGCAAAAACGCTAGACACGCCCGCAGAACACCTGCTGCTGCTGCTGCTGCTCGACTCCCCACCCCCCTTTCATCAACAACAAACACTCCTAGTAAGCTAAGCACGGGGTACTTATACTTACAGGGCTGGCCACCACGCCGCCCACCGCAGCTTAACATACGACCCCTTGCTGCTGCGCAGCTCGAAGACACCGCTTCCCCAGTCCTGAGGGTCGAACTTTGCCTTGGTCTGCTTGTTCTTTCTCGTCCAGCTCTCCAAGTCCTCCTTCACGGCCCAACCCAAGAATTCCGCGATCACGACCTTGTCCACGGTCTGCTGCCTGTTTTTGAGGGAATAACAGTATTTGTCAATGACGTACAGGTCACGTGGACCAGCGCCATTCAATCCTCCACTTCCAGCTGTGTCGGGATCCGAGCCCCCATCCGCGTCTCGCCCGCCTCCTAGCTCTGGGTGCAGCAGCTGCCGCTGCTGCTCAATCGCCGCCGCTGCTGCGGCTGCTCCCGGTAACTGTATTCGCGATGCACGCCTCTGCTTAGCGCCACCTGTACTTTCCATGGACCTTGTTCCAAATATCCACAGCTCCGCCGGTCCAATGAAGTGCAGCTTCTTGCAGCGCGGCGGACCGCCGGCTGGAGGCCCCAGCGGACCACCCGCCGGGTGCGGGTGCGGGTGCGGGCGGCCGCCATCCACACCACTCATGGGCCACAGGTAATCCAGAAGCACCTCCGGAAGGGAGGTCTGGGCTCCCGTCCAAAACTCATCGCCCCCTGCATGATGCAGCAGCAGCCGTCGCTGCAGTTGCTGTTGCTGGCCGGAGACCCCTCCTTCGCCTCTTGTCTCCTTCCAAAACTCCTCGGCTGCCTCCACCGTGTGGATGCGTTCCTTCACTTCCCGCCACCAGTCCAGGAGGACCGCATCCCTGCGAGCGGATCGCCACTCCTGCTCGACCCCTTCTGCCACCACTGTCACCACCGCTGGTCTCTCCCCATAGCTGCCAGCACTGAAGGCAACTGCAGCAGCGGGGTACGGCAGATACTGCGGCCTGTACTGCAAATCCCAGGGTACGGTTACGGTCGCCTGGGGTATGCATGGCAGGTACTGCTGCTGGCGCAGTTGCTGTAGCGGCTGCTGCTGCCGATCCTCTAGAAGTTGTTCCGGCTGCCATGTCGCCAACGTCTGCTGTTGTTGCTGCTGCTGCTGCTGCTGCTGCTGCTGCTCAACAGACTGGTACTCCTGTTGCATTTGCTGTAATTGCTGTGGTTGCTTCGGCGGTTGGCAGTACCCTTGCGGTTGCTGCGGCGGTTGGCAGTAGCCTGGCGGTTGCTGCGGTTGCCGCTGGTATCCGTCAGGGTCCATCGGCAGCTCCAGGTGCTGCTGCTGCATTGGATTGGGAAGAATACCAGGTGAAGATGACAATAATAACCCCTGGGGATGCTGCTGCTCCCAGTACTGCGGATCAAGCTCCGAACCATCGGGTTGGTTCACCGGAGCTGCAGCCTCATGCTGAGAGATCAAGGGCAAAGCAATAAGAGCCTCCAAATCTTCCTCAGAGGTAACACCACCGTTGTCGGCATCTTCCCCCCGATAGTGCTGCAGCAGAATCCGCAGGGAATCGCCATCACCGTCGGCGTCGCCCTCTGCGATGCCACGAAGATTCGATGCGGCAGGCCACACATGTGAGGCCGGTATGTCCTGTTGACTGCCGTTGCCAAGCTGCAGCTGCTCCTGTTGATGCAGCACCGGTGCCATCATTGCATGTGCGTACACGCGGTGGGGAACGGACGCAGGGGGAGCAAGCAATCTGTAGAGGGGCTGGGTCGCGGATGCGGGGAGCTACGGCTTACGCGTCCCTGTGCCTATGTGGAAGGGTTCGTCATTACTGCACTGTAAAGCGCTACCTAACCTACATCCCTACGGCCTAAATATAAAGCGAAAAGCGATCATGCAAGTTTGCAGTAGACTTGCGGCAGCTGAAGGTGTAGGAGCAGAAGCTGGAATACTTCGCGAGTTATGATGTGACTCACTCCGTCGACCTTGACGCCCTCGGTCGGGACACCCAAGGAGAACTCCTCTATATCGCCGAGGTCTAGGTCATCGAGAATGTCAAACGACAGCGGACTAAGCGCATGTTCAGTTGTCACTGCAAAATTGATTACGAGCTAGATAAGCTGCCGGAGCCGTTGCCTAACCGAGGCAGCAAAGGCATAAATAATATTTACACTTACTCTTTGACTCCAAGGATTTAACCTTGTTAAGGTTTTTAGAGCATAGGCATCAACATAATGGAAATGCATATATTGTGACTGTCCAAGCTTCGCACTCGAGACACATCAAACTACACCCGCCATATGTGCGCCGGATTATGCGTAACAATGTATACTAATGATATTTTCGCTAGCACAACTCAAGTCTTCGGAAGCCAAGAGCGTGACCGCATCACTACCAACCGTACCAAGGTTGCAGCCAACTGTCGCTGACAGGACTGCAATCAGTTGAGGCTGTATTACCACGACTGATCAATACGCGCTTCCACATACCTGGTAAGCATATAGGACCTATAACCAGGAAGAAAGGATCGCGTCAGCGTTTCACCCCCTTGGTTTTCGCAGTGAGCCAGCAAGACAATTGATCTTGTAGCCATTTGTAGAAATTCATCAAGGGTCACTGTAAGCCGCCCAAGCGCTATAGGCATGGAATCCTTTTGCGGACTAGACGCTCAACTTACATCGTTTGCTTGTACACCCTGGTACCTTGTAACAAATGTAAAAGACATAAGAAAAGAAAATGTGTTGCTCCTTCCTCTCAGTTGTAAGGTTGCGGTACACCAAGCACCGCCCGTGACGTCGACCCGTGAGCACGAAGATCAGAACTGGCAGGAATCGCTGCTTGCCAACACGCCCTCAATTTCGTCCCCTCACCCGCGCCTCTGATATGCCAAGTAGCCACAACGCGCCGCCTGTCTGCACCAAGCACTATATGCGTCTGGACGCACCTTTCCCAGTCAAAGTACCGGAATTGGAATAAGCTGGAGTAGCAGGGTCTACCTATGCTTTCATGTGGTTTTTCCTGTTTTTGGACCACTTGCCACGAGTCCAGCCAAAATCAACGAGGCAACTGAGGCATGGAGTACCATGGCGGCTGCTTGTCTTGGGGTTTATTCCTTTGCATGAAAATGAAAATGAGGTTGCCTGAGGCTTGCCTGGCTGCATTCAGGAAATCGCTAGGATCATTACCGTAACTATTCCCCACACCTTCGACCAAACCCTGTAGGATGTGCCACATACGCAACAACATCTGGACCGTATGGACAAGTCTGTTAGGTCCCCCCCCTTACAACGAACGGCCATGTCCTTCACTTGCAGCACCCTTCCAGCCCTGCTGGTACTGCTGGTACTGCTGCTGTTGTTCCGGTCGTTGCCACATCCAAGCCCCGCTGCTGCAGCCGCGCGAAGCGGCGCCTCATCCGCACCTCCATCGCCGCCGCCACGAGCTGCCCCGAGACGCCGAAGAGCGCCGCCGCCGCCAGAACCCGCGACGGACTGCTATACGGACATCACAGTTGGGAAATGTTGCGAGACATCGTACGGCGACCGCTGCCGCCGCCGCCGTCATCGGTGCAGAAGCACAGCACGACCAGGTGCAGTACACCCACACAGATCATCTGCAGCACCACCGCCAGCTGGGACCAGGGCCGTAGCTGTGCGAACACGCTGCATGTTGCCAGCAGCGAAAACAAAAACCGAAAGCCCATCTCGTCCTGGCTCACGTCCAAGTACGGCGAGTGTACATGATCATGGCCATCTGGCCGGTGGAAGCTGTATGTCAAGACACTCAGCACAGATGCAACAAAGCCCGTCATCAGTACAGAAAGTAGTTCGACTTCAAATCATAGTTAACATGTACAACCGCAGCGGTGGCGGTGATAGCGGTGGCGGTAATGGTGCCGCTCAGCTGCATCTCACCGCCCGTCAGCACTGATGCCTTTGACACTGACACGGTCATCTTCCGGCGCCGCCATCGCCGTACAAGCACCGCCACGGCGTGACCAGCCAGTGGCGACGCCAGCCATGTCACGCCAGTCAGCACCTCCGCTAGGTCCATCCATCACCGCTACCGCCACCACTGCCATAAGAATGCTGTATGCGATGGCGGCAAGCTGCTGGCCGCTCACCGCTGCTCCAGTACGCCGAGCAGTCTACACGGCCTCCCGCTCCGCCACAGGACGGTGATGAAGGCCCTCGCCGTCGCCGCCGCCATCGCCATCCTTGCAAATCACGATCCACAACCGCTGCCAGCAGAACTTGTGGCCATTCTTCCCATGCGGAGGCAGCACCATTTGCAGCACTGGGGAATCAGCAAGAGGGGAGGAGGGGGAGTGCGTGTGCTTCCTCATGGGGGGAGAGGGAAGCGAGAAACAGAAGCGATGTGGACCATCACAGCGGAGTGTGCAGCTGCGCACAGCGAGGGGGCACCGCAGATTTTGGAAGTGCAACAGGGCAAGAGAGGTCAAAGTGGGGAGATGTTGGCCATCTCGCAGGGGACATGTCGCGACAAGCACGGCACATGCCGAGCATACATACATACATACATACTCGGGTGATGTCTCGAAGTTCGTTCTCCAGCTAGTCGGTTGGTGGTTAGGGAATCGCGGGGCTTCGTATATCGGATGAGAAAATAGAGATTTTTTCCTGTACATGTTCCCGGACCGACCGGCCGTGGACCGACCACTGTCTGGACGAATGTGGCGGATAGGGTGGTGGCTTTCCCCAAATCTCCGGCAACCAGGGATGACCCCGCAAAACCGGAAAGCCAAAACCTTAAAACGCTAGAACCTCTAGGGGTGTTGAAACTCCCTCGTCTGTTTTAACTCGGTCTTGTCGCCTCAATCCGTTTTTGATCTTTTCCATCTAGCCCTGCCGCTTCCCCGTTGCTTTCCTGCTGCTCCCCCTCCCCCTCCCGCCTTTTCCTTCTTTTCAAAAACTTTTAAAAGAAGCCTTCAAAACCTTTTAAAACTCCCATCCCTGGCACGGACCTCCACACGGGCACACCTTCACAGAGCAAGATGACGCCGACTGGCCGGGACTAAGGTTTGCCCTGCGCAAAGGCTGAGGCTGTGGGTGCGGCTGAGGTTGTTGCTGCTGCTACAGGTTGCAGCTCAGGCGCGCGCCAAGGTAATCCAGCCGCGGGCTCGGCGGCCATCAATGCTAATGGTGACGGCTGCTGCTGCTGGTGCCACTGCTGCTGCTGCTGGTGGAGGTGGGGGTGAGAGCTAATCGCGGTCACGGCACCTCCTCCGCCGCCACCAGCTGCCGCAGCCGCACTACGAGTCACCACCCAGGTATCCGCCTTGCTCGCCTCGCAGGGAAGACCTCCTACCTCCGGCACTCCAGCGCTGGCAAGCCCGCCGCCACCGCCGCCAGCAGCAGCAATGCCATCCTCCTCCGTAGTGCACGTGCCTGCCATGAACTGGCCGCCACTGTAACCACTAACGGCAGGGTGCCATACCGCCTGAAGCGAGGTGCCGGAGGATGCTGCTGTTGGTGCTTCTGCCGAGATGCCGGGAGGTGCGGCAGTAGCAGCCATGGCACCAGCAGAAGCAGCATATCGAGCAGTCAAGGCTGCATTCGATTCAGGTTCGCAGAAGGCCATGGGGCCTACTGCTGGCGGCTGTGACAGCATAACATTAGTACTGCCACCATACTGGTGCTGGCTTTCGTAGCATGTACTAGCCAGTGTGTGGGAGTTGTCACTGTCCGAGAAGAACAGTCCTTGCCCTGCCGCCGCGCCCACAACGTAGCCGTACGGCTGCTGCTGCTGCTGCCGGGTCGTGGGCCGCCAACCAGCTGCGGGCCCCACTATCCCGTGAGCAGGAAGAGCTGATGACCCATCATCCGGTGCTGTTGGTGCTGCTGCTAGCGCCAATGCTCCACAAACGTTCACCCCCGACAAGCGGGGTGTCAGGGGTGCCATTGCTGGTGCTGCTGCTGCTGCTGGTGCCTGCACCGGGTACAAATGATGGTGGTGCTGCTGGTACTGGTACTGGTACTGTTGTGGCGGTGGTGATTCCCGCTGCTGATATTGGTGGTGCTGCTGCTCTGCCTGCTGCGTATCGGGATAACAATGGTAATCACGGTACTGAATTGGCGCCTCCTGGAAAGGCGCCGACAGCGGCAGGGGCGGTGGAGCTAATGCCTCCGCCGCCGCTGGCGCCGCCGCCACCACTGCCGCCAGCGAGTGGGTTTCACCCGCAGCAGACGACAGAGGCCAGACGTGTGGAGGCAGCGCGGCTAGCCCCCCCTGCTGCTGCTGCTGTTGACGACCACCCACGGCTGGTCGCATGGGGTGCGAGCCGCTCCCTCCTGCAGCGGCTACCTCATGATAGCTGCTCCCCGACAGGTTAGGACTGGGGTCCTTAGTGGGGCTGGGAGTAGCCGCTGTCTCAGCAATCGCAGACGAGGGCCTCGGGGCCGCTTCCTTCTTGAGCTTCCTGCCGGAGGGCACGTTGACCGTGTACCTGCAGCACGAGGTGTGGATGGGTGTTCACGTTCCGTCCGCCGTGTACCCCCCTTGTCAACACACACGTGACATGACGACCGTAATCCTGAAGATAGCGTCAAGACGCGTGCCAGCATATGTATGGTTACCACCTACAGCTCCTGCTGTTCCTGTCGTACTTCTTGCCGTATATGTGCCCCAAAAGACAAGCGAAATCCCCAAATAAGCCAGGAGACAATATTCCATACATCGGAAGAATTGTATGTATTTATGTATGTATGAATGCATGTATGATGTGTGAAACAGGGGGGTGTATCTTCACCCGTGGCAGCTACCTTGCGAAACCCTGCCTTCCCCGGTATATCGGGGCACCCTCATCCAGACTCCCTAGTCAACTTCTCAGTGGATCGCTCAGGTTCCGCACCCACCACCAGCATCCAACGGAATCTGCCGGGTCGACAGCGGCCCAACTCCATTCCTGGTCGGCCCGCAGGTTATCTTTATCCCAGGTCACCACCGTCCATCAACTAGGGGCGCAATGCCTTCCACCATCGGAAGGACTTTTATCCTAATGGGTATCGATCTTGGGATCTCCCGGGGGCAATTGTCGCGCCTTACCAGTAGTGCCAAACCCTATGTATGTATGTATGTGGAGGTGCGGGTGCCATGCAAAACGCTAGACACGCCAGCAGAACACCTGCTGTTGCTGCTGCTGCTCGACTCCCCACCCCCCTTTCAGCAACAACAAACACTCCTAGTAAGCTAAGCACGGGGTACTTATACTTACAGGGCTGGCCACCACGCCGCCCACCGCAGCTTAACATACGACCCCTTGCTGCTGCGCAGCTCGAAGACACCGCTTCCCCAGTCCTGAGGGTCGAACTTGGCCTTGGTCTGCTTGTTCTTCCTCGTCCAGCTCTCCAAGTCCTCCTTCACGGCCCAACCCACGAATTCCGCGATCACGACCTTGTCCACGGTCTGCTGTCTGTTTTTGAGGGAATAGCTGTACTTGTCAATGATGTACAGGTCACATCCTCCACCTCCAGCTGTGTCGGGATCCGAGCCCCCATCCGCGTCTCGCCCGCCTCCTAGCTCTGGGTGCAGCAGCTGCCGCTGCTGCCCAGCCGCCGCCACTGCTCCCGGTAACTGTATTCGCCATGCGCGCCTCTGCTTAGCGCCACCTGTACTTTCCATGGACCTTGTTCCAAATATCCACAGCTCCGCCGGTCCAATGAAGTGCAGCTTCTTGCAGCGCGGCGGACCGCCGGCTGGAAGCCCCCCCAGACCACCCGCTGGGTGCGGGTGCGGGTGCGGGCGGCCGCCATCCACACCACTCATGGGCCACAGGTAATCCAGAAGCACCTCCGGAAGGGAGGTCTGGGCTCCCGTCCAAAACTCATCGCCCCCTGCATGATGCAGCAGCAGCCGTCGCTGCAGTTGCTGTTGCTGGCCGGAGCCCCCTCCTTCACCTCTTGTCTCCTTCCAAAACTCCTCGGCTGCCTCCACCGTGTGGATGCGTTCCTTCACTTCCCGCCACCAGTCCAGGAGGACCGCATCCCTGCGAGCGGATCGCCACTCCTGCTCGACCCCTTCGGCCACCACTGCCACCACCGCTGGTCTCTCCCCATAGCTGCCAGCACTGAAGGCAACTGCAGCAGCGGGGTACGGCAGGTACTGCGGCCTGTACTGCAAATCCCAGGGTACGGTTACGGCCGCCTGGGGTATGCATGGCAGGTACTGCTGCTGGCGCAGTTGCTGTAGCGGCTGCTGCTGCCGATCCTCTAGAAGTTGTTCCGGCGGCCATGTCGCCAACGTCTGCTGTTGCTGCTGCTGCTGCTGCTGCTGCTCAACAGACTGGTACTCCTGCTGCATTTGCTGTAATTGCTGTGGTTGCTTCGGCGGTTGGCAGTAGCCTGGCGGTTGGTGCGGCGGTTGGCAGTAGCCTGGCGGTTGCTGCGGTTGCCACTGGTATCCACTGGTGTGCGGAAAGCCAGAAGATTGCTGCTGCTGCATGGGGTTGGGAGGAATACCAGGTGAAGATGCCAGTAATAACCCTTGGCCTTCACCCTCAGGCTCAGAGATCAAGGGGGAGCTGTCTAGCACAGCAATAAGAGCATCCACCATTGTGAGAGAGTCCACACCACCGTTGTCGGCATCTTCCCCCCGATAGTGCTGCAGCGGAAACCGCAGGGAATCGCCATCACCGTCGGCGTGACGACCGGCGCCCTCTGTGATGCCACGAAGATTCGATGCGGCAGGCCACACATGTGAGGCCGGTATGTCCTGTTGACTGCCGTTGCCAAGCTGCAGCTGCTCCTGTTGATGCAGCACCGGTGCCATCATTGCATGTGAGTACACGCGGTGGGGAACGGACGCAGGGGAAGCAAGCAATCTGTAGAGGGGCTGGGTCGCGGATGCGGGGAGCTACGGATTACGCGTCCCTGTGCCTATGTGGAAGGGTTCGTCATTACTGCACTATAAAGCGCTACCTAACCTACATCCCTACGGCCTAAATATAAAGCGAAAAGCGATCATGCAAGTTTGCAGTAGACTTGCGGCAGCTGAAGGTGTAGGAGCAGAAGCTGGAATACTTCGCGGATTACGATGTAACTCACTCCGTGGACTGTGACGTCCTCAGTCGGAGCACCCAAGGAGAACTCCTCAATAACGCCGAGGTCTAGGTCATCGAGACTGTCAAACGACAGCGGGCTAAGCGCATGTTCTCTTGTCACTGCAAAATTGATTACGAGCTAGATAAGCTGCCGAAGCCGTTGCCAAAGGCATAAATAATTGGCAGCAAAGGCATACATAATATTTACACTTACTCTTTGACTCCAAGGATTTAACCTTATTAAGGTTTTTAGGGCATAGGCATCAACGTTATGGATATGTATGTATGTCCAAGCTTCTGTCCAAGCTTCGCACTCGAGACACATCAAACTACACCCGCCATATGTGCGCCGGATTATGCGTAGCAATGTATACTAATGATATTTTCACTAGCACAACTCAAGTCTTCGGAAGCCAAGACCGTGACCGCATCACTACCAACCGCACCAAGGTTGCAGCCAACTGTCGCTGACAGGACTGCAATCAGTTGAGACTGTATTACAACGACTGATCAATACGCGCTTCCACATACCTGGTAAGCCTATAGCTTAACTTGTAACCTAGAAGAAAGGATCGCGTCGGCGTTTCATCCCCCTGGTTTTCGCAGTGAGCCAGCAAGACGATTAATCTTCTAGCCATTTGTAGAAATTCGTCATAGGGTCACTGTAAGGCACCCGAGCGCGATAGGCGTGGAAACCCTTTGCGGACTAGACTTTTGCGGACGCTCAACTTCCATCGCTTGCTTGTACACCCTGGTACCTTGTAAGAAATGTAAAACCCAAAAGAAAGACAAAGGTATTGCTCCTTCCTCTTAGTTGCAGGGTTGCGGTTTTTTTTACCAAGCAATGCCCGTGACGTCGACCCGTGCGCACGAAGACCAGAACTGGCAGGAATCGCTGCTTTCCAATACGTCCTCAATTTCAACCCCTCACCCTCGCCTCTAATATGCCGTTTTCCTTCCAAGCACCAAACAAGGCGTCGCCTGCCTGCACCTAGCACGATATGCGTCTGGACCCGCCTTTCCCAGTCAAAGTACCGGAATTTACTTGAGGTTGAATAAGCTCGAGTAGCAGGGTCTACCTATGCTTTCATGTGGTTTTTCCTTTCCTGTTTTTGGACCACTTGCCACGAGCCCAGCCAAAATCAACGAGGCAACTGAGGCATGGAGCACCATGGCGGCTGCTTGTCTTGGGGTTTATTCGTTTGCATGAAAATGAAAATGAGGTTGCCTGAGGCTTGCCTGGCTGCATTCAGGAAATCGCTAGGATCATTACCGTAACTATTCCCCACACCTTCGACCAAACCCTGTAGGATGTGCCACATACGCAACAACATCTGGACCGTATGGACAAGTCTGTTAGGTCCCCCCCCTTACAACGAACGGCCATGTCCTTCACTTGCAGCACCCTTCCAGCCCTGCTGGTACTGCTGGTACTGCTGCTGTTGTTCCGGTCGTTGCCACATCCAAGCCCCGCCTCTGCAGCCGCGCGAAGCGGCACCTCATCCGCAACTCCATCGCCGCCGCCACGAGCTGCCCCGAGACGTGAAGAGCGCCGCCGCCGCCAGAACCCGCGACGGACTGCTATACGGACATCACAGTTGGGAAATGTTGCGAGACATCGTACGGCGACCGCTGCCGCAGCCGCCGTCATAGGCGCAGAAGCACGGCACGACCAGGTGCAGTACACCCACACAGATCATCTGCAGCACAACCGCCAGCTGGGACCAGGGCCGTAGCTTCGCGAGCACGCTGCATGTTGCCAGCAGCGAAAACAAAAACCGAAAGCCCAAGTCGTCCTGGCTCACGTCCAAGTACGGCCGGCGGTGAGTGTACATGATCATGGCCATCTGGCTGTAGCTCTGCCCAGGCGCCACTCAGCAGCTCACCCCACATGTGCTCCACAAGGCTTGCGGAGGTGGTGACAGCTGTAGATTCTGTCATACTGGTACAGCTGCCACCACCGTCACTGCACACTGCCACAGAGCTACTGCTGCCAGGCGTCCACAGCAGTAGCAGCTGCCTCCAATTGGGTTTAACTGCACAGACTGGTTTGGCCGGATGCAGGCAGCAGCGGCAGCAGCAGCAGCAGTAACAGCACAGCAAAACATCAAAGGTCAGCCCCCAAACCCCCAGCAAACTGAATTTTAATACTGCCTGCATCCGGCCAAACTAGTCTGTGCAGTTCACCCAATCTCGCGGATCAGCATAAGAAGAACACGATATAAAAGGTGCTGAACAATGTACGGCAAATTGAATGGTACGGCGACACAGCCGTAGGCCCGAATAGTTGAATCCCTGTATGGTGGACCGACATAAGAACCTGCTGGTTGCAGGTGCGGCTGAGGTGAAGCCAGTAATGCAGCTGCGGTCGTTCTGGAGCTGGTGTCGGTGGTTGCTGTGTTGGGCACGGATAAAGTGGCAATATCCTTGATTCGGCCCTGGTTAGCCGTTGTGGGTTTACAGGGATGGCTCCTAAGTGGCCAGGTGACAACCCTGCCGGGCTCCACACCGCCAACCGGCTCGTGGACTGGGCTGTCCTATGATGATGATGCTGATGTGCTGTTTGCCACGACGGCCAGTGCGATCTGCCGCATTGATGTGATCACCTTGACTACAACTGCTGCCTCGGCGCATGTGTCTGGCGCCAACGGAGAAGAGCGTACCACCCCAATGAGCACAGCTGCCGGTGAGCTTAAAGCGAATGTGAACCTTGTAGCTGGCGACTGGCAGGCGACCGGCAACACGGATGGTCCCGGAACTAGAGCACGCTTTACCCGCATCACTGCCATCCTGGCTGGCGTACATCGGCAGCTGTACATACTAGATTATGACAAGTTCCGCATCATGAGTGCTCGTGGCTACGTCAGCACGGCACTTACCGGGCTCCCAACAGACCAGTGCTCTATTGCTGCCTTGCCCAGTGGCGAGCTGGCTGTGGGCGCTAAGAGCTCCACCGTGACGGCCACTTGCTGCTGCCGCCGCGTCCACAGCGCCTAGGGGTCACTGTTGGGGGAAGAAGATCTGCGACAGCTGATAGTCTGTTATCCATGCCTGGTGGCTGACCTGATCCGGGAGCTGGTTGTGATGCCGTGACATACTGTGGCGTGATGGACAGCGAGGTAGGATTAGCCGGCACAGCATCCTCATACCATAAGATCTCACAGGCTCATATACAGCATGCTATGCGGACTTTTGCTTGGTGTGTGTGTGTGTGTCTGGGAAGGTGAACACCGGGGGAGGCGAACGGCTCCTAATGACCGCAGATTCCTGTGCGCGAAGTTCTGTTGTTACTTAATTAAGCCACTTAAGAAGGTAAGGGTTAGCATTAGCAAGCAAGCACTGGTGTGGGTATCAGGGATATGGTCCATGTCGCTCATGGTTGTTGCGACCCAACCATGTAACTTTACGATACCAACTGGGATTGACCAACAGCAGGCGCGGTGCGAACTCCGATGCTGTGATGCGCTAAGGGCCTCGCTCACTTTCCATTCCACATGGTCAATAACCGTGATAGGATTGCGCCATCTGGACATACTCGCCAGCTAGCTGTAATCATCACGGGAGCAGCTCCGGAAGGGGATTTGCAAACCCGTCCTGTCTAATTATATTACAAACATGCGGCATCACCCTGGGATAGGCTGCTGGGGGATATGTGTCTAATCAACTCCTTTAATGGGGTAGCACTACTACTTGCCTACCCAACTAACAAACAACATACTGCCTATCCAGCTACCTGCACCCCTACCTCATAGTTTGCACATGCATGCTATCGGAGCTTCATTGCGCTCCGTTTCTCAACGTTTCCCCACCCCTTGCACTCGCACCTCTCCCCGACGAACAACAACAGCCACAGCAACAGCCTCTCTCTGCACAACAAGAACGATGATGACGAAAGCGCCTCTCCACCTTCGCTGTGCTCTCTCTGTCGGCGCGCAATCAACACCACCCAGCCACACACCCGAACGAGTCTCTTGAACAATTCATCAACTCCCAGCTTGCCGCACCACACCACACCACGTGCAGTCACCTGCTTGCACCCCAAACAGAACCCCCTCAGGTTGTAACGCCCACGCTGCGCTGCGCTGCAGTGCGTATGCCTCGCCGTCAGCCGGGGCCCAACCAGCCCGCGCCGCGGCCCCATGCCCCTCCTCCTCCTCCTTTTCCTCCTACTGCCCCCCTGGGGGGGTCCTCACGGGGCTCAGACCGACTCCGCCTATCCGCAAGGAGATCGCAGTCGCCACACCGACCCCACTCGTGTTCCTCTTTGGACTAAGAAAAGCTCCCAAAACGACCCCTCTCCCGGCACTGATCCCGACCCCCCCTTTCAGGTTTCCCCCCTTCAGACTCCGGACACAGCATAGCGGTACTCAGAGCAGCTGACAACCTAGGAGCAGCAAAAAGGAATACATGCCACATACGGATACCACATCTGCATACAGACACTGGCACAGACAGCCAAGCATTGCATGATACAGCCAGCACGTGTTATGATACAGTGGCGTAAACAAACGGTAAGATGCGGACACAGCAATTCGGGAAAGGGTTCGCGAGAGGGACTGCCTTCCCGGCCACATGCTCGAGGAGGGGACCCGACTCGAGGAGGGTATCTAGCTAGTGTGGCTCTCACGGGCTGAGAGAGCGGGGCAGTGCATGATGCCCTCCCGTCCCCAGCTGCTGGCTAGACATGCCCCCCCCCCTTCCACCACCCCCCTCACCACAGACATACATGTTTTTCGGCGGGCAAACACCGACTGGCCCACTGCCCCCAGTTCCCCCCCGCAATCAATTGGAACCTTCCACGGAGCTTCGCCGGCTGGGTTACGGTACCAACCTAGGGAGGGGGCCCTACACGGGGGGGGGGGTGCACGAGGCGGTGACCGGCTCCGTCGAAGCCTTCCAAAGCAACAACTAAACCCCTAAGAAGAACAGCAGCAGCAGCGGCAGCGGCAGAAGGGGCGAACAGCCAGGAGGAGCGCTCGTACACACACGCACAGACAGACAGACAGACAGGCACACGGGTCGTGGTCGCCCCCCGCCACTACAGCGCGTCCGCTTAATCGTACTTCATCCTCTTGACATCACTTTCCAGATTTCCAAATCTAGCTACGTCGCCAATTTTAGTGAAAAATCCTAACACACGTCGCTGGTGACTATTCGGAGCTTGCTTCGGTAGAAGTAGTCATATACCGCCATCGGCATTTCCTTTAAAGCGGCTCAGATCATTATCGCACGTACACACACACAGAGCTGCCTGGCCCCCGTGCAGGCTCACCATCATCGCGTCCGTAACGCCGCGTGGCAGCCCCTTTGCCGCGTTAGGCTTGTTGGGCGCCCATGCCTCCAAGGGTAGGGCGCCACGAAATCCCCTCACAACCTCGCACATGCTCCCTAAATCCCCCCTCCATATCAACAGGCCCACAGAGGTGGGTCTGTTAATATGCCCATGCTGGGTGCCGTCCGTCCATTCCACTCTCTTCCTGCACTCTACAGCGGACGACGACGAGTAGCAGCTCAATCATAGTGCAAATACCGCACCAGAGGCGCACCAGAGCCCAGTTCACGCACCCGTATATACAACTACCGCCTCTGCCTTAGCGCGTGTACACACATGCAATATGCAACTCCACATCGTATGTGAGCGAAACCAAGCCGCCAGATCCCGCCCCACAGTCACAGCCCGCGCCTTCATAACAACCCTTTACCCACAACATACCCCGTCGCCTCCGCTGCATAATAACTTTGGCCCCTCTGACCGGGCGCTACCGACAGCCCTCCTAGGGGGCTAATGCTTTCCCGTCAATTCGTTTGCATCTGATTCCCAGTTACAGTTACAGTTTAGCTTTTTTTACAGCAACATTTTCAGCACCTCGTAGCTCGATACCACCACCGCACACGCCGGGGCAGTGCGCGCAGCCCGTGGGCCCCACCCGCGGAACAAACCGCGAACCCCCTCCTCGCGAAATATCCGCCCCGCCACCGCCGCCGCCGACCCGACTCCACGGTTACCGCTCCCCCCGCCACTGCCGCCGTGGCCAGTACTGCTGCTGCTACTGCTACTGCCGGATGACCTGCTGCTCCCCACCAGCTGCAGCTGCGTCTTCACGACATCGAACGGTGTCGTCACCAGTGCCGCCACTGCACCGGAGGCGCTACCCGCCACTAGGTTCACCGCCAACACCACACGACTGGACGGACCCTCGGGTCGTTGCTCCTGCTGCCCATGCTGCTGGTGCCCTCCCAGCTCCGGGATAGCCCCCTGAGGAGAACCGCCCACCGATTCCAATCTCATCGGCGCCCCGGTGGGTGATGTGTCGGGGGGCGGAGAGGGCCGGTGGTACCACCGAGCCAGGAGCTCACCACGCGCTCGCTCCATAAGGCCCCAGTAAATCGCAGAAAAGGGAACATCCCGAGCCAGCGTCGCTCCCACGCCCCTCCACAGCTGCGGCACCGAGCGCAGCAGCCTCAGGCCCCCGGCTAACCGCGATACCGACGGAGAGGCGGCGCCTGCGCCCGCCTCCGCCGGCGCCGCGGCTACTGCCGCTACCGTACCACGGCCAGCGGCGGCCGCAGCAGAAACTTCCTGCAGCGTCTCCCGCAGCGCCGCCCATGCCGTACGCGCGCCACCGGCACTGCCCTGTTGTCGTGTCCGTACCAGCTCCAGCGGCCCCACCAACAGCACCGCAACGGTTCGCGCGGCGGAACCCGCAAACAGAGGGGCATAACCACCCAGCGGTACTGTCGTACGCTGCAGCAAGTAGTCGTACATCGGCATGTAGACTCCGACCATGGGGATGCTCGCAAGCATGGCAGTGTCCGTACCCCGCCAGAGCGCTGCAAGGCCCTCCTGCAAGCGGGGCGATGGGGAAAGACGAAACATTGGCGATAAAGCAGTCAGCCAGGGTAGACCGAGCGAGGGGAGGTGGAGGGGGAGGGGGAGAGGAGGAGCAGCCTAGCCGGAGGGGCAGGCGCTGATTTCCCATCCCAGGTCCCTCACTGTGACGTCATACCACCTTTAAGAACCCCCGGAGGCTGAGGGTGGGGTGGGGGGAAAGACGAACCACGAACGAGTGAAGCTGCTGCCAGGGCAAGAGTGTACCAAACGTAGAACTGACGGAAAGGCGTCCGTGAAGACGGCGACCTCGGGATGACGTAGTGAAGCTGATGTCGGAAAAACTACCTACCTAAGCCGCCAGGACTAAAAAAAGCAGGGAAAGCAGTAATGCCAAGCCGTAAAGAAGTAGGTATAGAAAAGTAGGTGTAGAGGCGGCGGAGAAGTAGTAAAGCACTGCTGTCGTAAAGCTGGAATAAAGTTTGCTGCTGGCTTGGAGAACTAGCTGATTTGCTGGTAATGAAAAGCTGTCGGTATGCAAGTGCTCCTCCCAAACCCCCAAAAACCGCGCGACCGACCCGACCGACCCGACTATCCTAGTCCGGCTAGCCGACCGACGCCAACCGACGTGGGGTGGGGGGCGCCCACCCCCAGGTAGCCCGCATGCAGCCGTCCCTCCCTTGCAGGGACCCTTCCATATCAATGTACGACCCAAGACCCACCTTCCGTACAATGTCCCGCAGCACACCCGACGCACTGACGGGCCGGTACAGCCGTGCCGCTTCGGCACATCGCTCCGCTGCGCCAAGCCGCTCTGGACCCAGATCCGCAACCTTAAGCGCACAGGCGCAAGACGACATGGGCAGCTGGCCCGACATAAGCAGCCGACGAGGCAGCTGTGAAGCGGCAGCCAGGCCACCGCTTCCTCCAGGCGGTCCGGCAGCGGCGCCCATGCAACCTTCCGCTAATTTGGAGGGCAGCCTGGCCGACTGGCATTTCGAAAGGGATGAGGGCCTGGCCCATCGTACGGGGAACCTGAAGGGGTTACTGGCGGTGCGCAGGAGGGGCATCGGCAACCAGCTTATGTCATGATGGGCAGGCGGACCGGAGCGGTAATAAGAGGGAGAGGAAAGGCGAAGACGTCATGTAGTATATTTAAATGATCTGATAGGATGGAACGCTTGCCAGAAGCCAGATGTAGGATGGGTCAGAAGAAGATACACACGATTGTTGCGGTTCCCGCCGACCCGGTGCTTAACTTACCGCGAAAGGAGGCACGTTGGTAGAGGCTGGTCGGTGACAATCAATGCAGCCTGTACGCGAGTCTGTTGAACAGGATATGTGTGCAGGTCAGGACCCAGTTAAAGGAAGCGAACAATTGTGCACCAAACGTCTCCCGCGTACCTTCACGACGTCCAGCGGATTCACGAGTAGCGCGGCCACGATGGATGCGCCAGCTGCAGCTGCGATACGATGGCGCAGCTCCGGTTGGCGAACTTCGTCGGCTTGTGCCATTGTTACATATACAGGCCTTAGGGCATTCTACGGATACGCCATCGCGGCAGAGACATACTGCCCTGTCTTACTATTCTGGTGGCTTAACTTAAAGCGGATGAAGGTTACAGCGTCATGTAAACCAGCTGGGAGTCGTACCCCACAACACGTAATGCTAGGCCAGAGGGCTTTGAGAGTTTCTCTTTATAAATTTATTAATGAAAACTACCTGTACACTATTTGGAAAGGAAGCTACCTTCTAGTAGCAGGTTCCGTTGCCGACACAGCGGAGCAACACCTGAGTAATCGGTAAGGCCGTCGCGGTGCATTTAACCGCGACGGCAAGTACTGATCTAGAACAAATAAAAGGCTTACGTATCATGCAACCAGTTCAGTTACTCCTGCGCAAGGCCAGCGCACAAGTAGGCATTTGGGCTGCTGCCGAAGCCGCTCGTGCGTATCCCTCTTGCCCCTCTTTGAGAGGCCGTATCGACCCAGCACTTCGCCATTTCCGGGCGCTTTCAAATGCGACGGGTCTCCTCAGCTCCAGGTCCTCCCCTGAGGGCCCCCAGCCACCCACCGCCTGCAGTACCTCTGGTTGGCCCGCACTGCTAGCGACGTTCCGCTACGTCCACTGCTCCACAGCGCCCCTAGCAGGAGGCTCCGATGGCGCCGATACTGCTGCTGCGGCGGCGGCAGTACGACGCCTGGCAGCAGCGCGGCGGCGGCGGGAGCGACTGACGGAGCCTGGGCCCCACCGTCTGTCCGGCGCCGACACCACTTCCGGATACGACAATAGCGGAGCTGTCGAATCTCAGCAGCAGCCGTCAGGTGTCGTACCTGCCACAACGACGGCTGTAACGCCCGCGGAAGGCCCGGCATCGGAGGCGCAGGTGTGTGTGCGTGTGTGTGTGTGTGTGTGTGTGTGTGTGTGTGTGTGTGTGTGTGTATGTGTATCTCACATTCCCACTGGGGCCCACAGCGGTGTCCACAGCCATCATGTACGATTGCTGTCTAGGCGTGTGGGGGAACTGCGGATATTTGCTCTAAAGTGAGTTGAGACACTAAGACCTACAGATCTGGAGTTCGGGGGAAGGGCCCTGTCGTGTGTGTCGTCTGTATGTGTATATGTGTGTATGTGTGTCTGTTGTGTGTATATGTGTGTATGTGTGTCTGTTGTGTGTATATGTATGTGTATGTGTGTATGTGTGTGTCTCGGGGGGAGGAGGCGTCCAACCCAGGCGTTCCTCCCGCGGGGGCCCCCTCGGGGGGAAGGGTTCCAACACGCCGATCACCTTTGACGGGCCTGGGAGGGGGTATTGGAAACTGCCGTACAAGTGGCTTGGACGGCCGCCGCCGCAAATTGATGGCCCGCATAAAGACACGAATATTCCGTACAACTGGACCCTGGCCGTGAGTTTAACCCCGCTTGACATTGCCGTTGCTCCCGCCGCTACTGTCGCCTCGTACTGCCGTACATACACCCCCGCGCCGCGCCCGCCACGTCCCCCAGCTGGTGGCTGCGCTGGACCACCCCGCGCTCATCGTTACGCGGCCCATCGAATGGTGCGTACGACTGTCGTACATACCCGTGCTGACGTCATTGATACCAGCCGGGGAGGGAAGGGGAGGGGAGGATATGGAGCTTGCTCCCGTGCGGGTGTACGGCATAGCTTACTGTAGCTGGGGTTCGCTCCTAAGTCCTTGGGTCCTTGTACTGCTCTGTACTGCTCAGCGGGCCCATGTTTTCCCCGCTCCATGTTTTCCCCGCCTGCTATGTACAACTGCATATCTGTATAACTGCATAACTGTACAGCTGTATATCTGTACACCGACTCCCCTTAACCGCTCCTTCTCGCCACGATCTTGGCATGCTGGATGCTCCTCCCGTACACACGTGCAAAACCCCCATACCTTTCCTTGCCCCTCCCTCCTTCCACTCCAAACAAATCTGCAACCTGGAACTGATGCTGCCCCGGTGGGGGTGATGGTGGTGGGGGTGACGGCGGCGGCGGCGGTGGCGGCTTGCGGCCCGTGCTCAGGGGGACAGTGATCTTCGGCTACGAGCAGGTGTGGAAGTGGTGGGCTGCCGCTGGGGGGGGTGGCGGGTGGTGTGGGGGTTGCGGGTGGTGTGGGGGGGGTGTCGCATCGCGGGCCAATGCACGGGTGGGCGGGAGGCGATGGAGTTACAAATGGACAAAAAGCCAAAAAGCCTGGTGGGGTGACGGGGCCCGCGCAGCAGCCCGTGTCCTGCCTGCCAAGTAGTGGAGCGACGGCGGCCTGGGCGTGAGCCTGTGTCCCGCGGATCTCGGTCACCCCCCTCTCACTTCAAAAACGCCTTTTGGTCAGTTCTACGTCTGGTACACTCTTGCCCTGGCAGCAGCTTCACTCGTTCGGGGTTCGTCTTTCCCCTCACCCGCCTCACCCGTCTCAACCCCCTACCTCTTCACCCAACCCCGCGTTCACACCCACCCACGCCTGGTGATGGTGCTGCTGCTGCTGCTGCTGATCATCATCATCATCTTCGCCCCGCACGCACCCCCTCAGGCCAACAAGTACACAGTGTACGACGAGAAAGGCACCTTGGTGGCCCTGGTGGCCGAGGACTTCGGCGGTTTCGGCAAGGAGATCGGTCGGCAGCTGCTGAGGACTCGCCGCTCTTTCACCGCCACCGTACTCAGCGCGGACGGTAGGGTGGCCGGGTGGGTGGCTGGGTGGATGAGGTTACGGGGATTGGGGGGGTTGTCGGCAGTGTTACATCTTTTGTTTTTTCAGATCTTTTGCAGATTGCAGTCTTTCCCGGCCCCCAACCCCGCCTCCCCTCACCCCCGCCCCCCTCACCCCCTCACCCCCTCACCCCCCTCACCCCCGTCCACTCCCCGCAGGGTCACAGGTGTTGTTCCGACTGCGGCGCCCCGCCTACCTGATTTCCTCCACCATGTTCGTGGAGGACGGTGCGGGCCGCCCCGTGGGTGAGATCCAACAGCGCTGGCACCTCCTGAAGCGGAACTACGACCTCTACCTGGACAAGTCCCAGTTCGCCGCCATTTCGGGTGCGTGAGGGGGCCGGGGGTGAGCTGCGGCTTGGATGGCTGGACTTGGCTTGGCGGGTTCTCAACACTCGGAGGGGAGTGTTCAGAATAAGCTTTGGAGCGGCAGCGGTGCGGCCCACGCAGCGGAGCGGCGGGGCCCCACCCCGCGTGGGCGTTGAATTTAATAAGGGCTGTAAGGGGATGGCAAAGAATTGGTCTCGGAGGGGTTATCCAGGCTCTTGTTGCGCGTGTTTGCAGAATCTGTGTTATGTGTTCCTGCTATATATGCTATATGGCTTTTTGTGTGTCCTGTTCAGGCAACTTCCTGGCCTGGGAGTTCGAGCTCAAGGACGGGCAGGGGGGTGCCCTGGCCTTGGTGGACCGCAACTTCCAGGGCTTTGCGCGGGAGATCTTCACGGACGCCGGCAAGTACGTCATCCACTTTGGTTACCAGGGCCAGCAGCTGGAGCAACACCAACAGGCCCTTTTACAACACCAGCAGCAGCAACAACAACAGCAACTGCAGCAGCAACAGCAGGCGGCTGGCGCTGCCGGGGCGGCGCCTACGGCGCCCGCGGCGGCGGCTACTCCGCCGCCATCGCCGCCGCCGCCTCCGTCGCCCGGCGCAACGGTGGTGGCGGGTACACCGCTGCCGGCTGCTGCAGAGGTGCCGGCTGCTGCGAGTCCGTCAGTGACGCCGATGGCGATGGCTCGTACGGATGTGGCGGTTATTCCGGTGGCGAGTGGAAATCAGTTGGTGGGTGGGGAGAGAGGGAGGGAGGGATTAATTCTGGAACCCCCTGGGCTTCTAGGGCGCCATGTACGGCAACCAGCAGGACAGCACGCGGATGTCGGGGTTCTGACAGCACGTACCTGTACGTACGGCACTGCGCCCTCCTCGTTGGGGGCAGGCAGAAGCCTGTCTCTAGGCGTGGCCCCCTAGGGCCATCGTGGCGCCATGTCGTACTTGTACAGCCGTGCCATGCTGTACGGCGCGTCGCTTGATAGTCCTTCACCACCTACCTCCCCTGGCCCCTTGCGGCTCGCTGCTGTCAGAGCTAGTCTTTCGGTGGGTGGGGGCCCCTAGGGCCGGGGGGGGGAACGAGACACACCTCTCAGACGTGAGTCGCGTTGCACGCACGGTAGAGGGAAAAAACCATTACCTCAAACTTCAGGAGAAACGTTCCCACACCTCTCGGCCTCCTTCTCGCCAGACACCACAGCCATTCCATCCCTCCCCCTCCCCCTTCCCCACCCTCGTGCCCTCCCGTACAAGTAGGTCGTTGCCCGGCCGTTGGAGTTGTCGGAGCGCATGGTGGCACTCGCCTGCGCCATCACCATCGACTACGACTACTTCTCACAACACTCGCACTCGGGAGGAGGTCTGGTGCCGCCGTTGGTGGTGATGCCCGGGGGCGGGGTTGAAGGCGGGGTTGGCACGGGGGAAAGCCAGGGAGGCGCTTCGGAGGGCCCGGGGCCGGCAGGCGCTGCGGGTGCTGCGGCGGGGACGGCAGCGGGGGATGTGCCGTTGGGCGGTGGCGCGGCAGCAGGGGGCTTTGGCGGGGCGGGGCCTGCGTCGCCACCGGGGGCGACGGGCGGTGGTGAGATGGGAGGTGGGTTTGGAGGGTATGGGGGAGATGGGTTTGATACGGGGAAGAGCTGGGGCCAGCCGGGTAGTGGCGATGGAGAGATGAAGTGGGATTTGGGCGGGTCAGATGATGGCGGCGGAGGCGAGGAGGGAGGTGGTGTGACGGGGCTGCTGCGGACGCTGTGGGGGCTCTTTGGCGGCGACGATTGATGAGGGAGGCTGTGTGCTGCTATATTGAATGCGTTGTTCGCGTTGATTTGTGTGATGGAGGGAGCGTTGATTAAGCAGCCCCTCGCAGAAATGTGTCCGGTCGTACTTCGCGAATAAACCGTTCGTACATCGTCCCAAAAAAGCCAGGAGCGAATTTTGCCGCGCAGATGCGCGCGTGCGATTCACAAAATGCGCCTGTACAAGTGTATATAAATTTCTTGAAGGTGCGCCAGCGCATTGCGCAGGTGGTCTTGTTGGCCATAGTCGCACCCGGCATGCAGGCTGGACTATTGCGTGGCTGCTTTGCAGTATCTGAAACAACCGAAAGCCTACGTCGTAGCTTGCAACACTGGGCTCGTGAAACTGCCGCGGAAGATGAAGCGTCGGGCGAAGAATCAGCCATAAGGCGCCTGCTTTCGGTAGCGCAGCGCATAATGCACATTGTTCCGACTAAACTCAAGTTACACTCTTACGAAATAAATAATAACATCGCAGAATTAGGTAAAGAGAAGAATCGCGAAAGTCGTTCAGAACCTTGCAAGTAAAATGGATGCCGCTGAGGGCTTGGAACAGCTTTTCGCAGCGCATTCGGCCGTGCCTGCGTTAGCCGTGTTGCAGCAACTACGGAAGGACTTGAGCCAGCAGCAAGCTCAAATTCTGTTTAAGAACCACCGGCATTGTCTTCAGATGGGAACATGTAGTTTTGGTCGGCGCGGGCGAGCAGCGTACGCATTGCGCACAGGTACCGAGGTGCAGCGTCTCAGGATGGATTTCAGCCAACAAAGCCTCAAGAGCTGCTGCACAACCACCGGTGTGTCTTCAGTTGGGCACGTGTAGTTTTGGTCGGCGGGGTCGAGCATCGTATGCATTGCGCACAGAAACCAAGGTGCAGCGCCTCTGTAACATCGCCAACATATCCGATACGCGGTGGCAGGCTTGCCGAGCACGAAATGAAGGGGGGTCGCATCTCACCATTCAACTAAGCATGCATGTGCTCGGTTGAATGCTCGGTAGCATGCGAGTTTACCTATCAGGATGTTTTGTGCATATATCCCTCCAAGCGAGAGGGCTTGGACCTATGCTGATGTTCGTTAAGCAGCCCCTCGCAGAAATGTGAGCCGTCGTACTTCGCGAATAAACCGTTCGTACATCGTCCAAAAAAGCCAGGAGCGAAATTCACCGCGCGGATGCGCGCGTGGGATTCGCAAAATGCGCCTGTACAAGTGTATATAAATTTCTTGGAGGTGCGCCAGCGCATTGCGTAGTTTGTCTTGCTGGCCATAGTCGCACGCGGCATGCAGGCTGGACTATTGCGTGGCTGCTTTGCAGTAACTGAAAGCAATGGAAGCTATCGTCGTAGCTTGCAACACTGGGCTCGTGAAACTGCCGCGGGAAGATGAAGCGTTCGGCGAAGAGGCAGTTGTGTGCAAGCCATAAGGCGCCTGCTTTCGGTAGCGCAGCGCATAATGCACATTGTTCCGACTAAACTCAAGTTACACTCTTACGAAATAAATAATAACATCTCAGAATTAGGTAAAGTTAAGAATCGCGAAAGTCGTTCAGAACCTTGCAAGTAAAATGGATGCCGCTGAGGGCTTGGAACAGCTTTTCGCAGCGCATTCGGCCGTGCCTGCGTTAGCCGTGTTGCAGCAACTGCGGAAGGACTTGAGCCAGCAGCAAGCTCAAGAGCTGCTGAATAACCACCGGCATTGTCTTCAGATGGGAACATGCAGTTGTATGCAGCACCTTGTTCAGAGTAAAGTCAAATTACAAAGTTGCGCAAAGTATAACATACATAAACTTAATTAAATTTCCATAAGAACAGATAAGACGTTTAGAGCCTGGTCGGTGACATGGACGCCGCTGCTGGCTTGGAACAGCTATTTGCTGTGCATAGGGACGTGCCCGCGTTAGCCGTGTTGCAACAGCTCAGGATGGATTTCAGCCAGCAACAGCCTCAAGAGCTGCTGCACAACCACCGGGAATGTCTTCAGTTGGGCACGTGTAGTTTTGGTCGGCGGGGTCCAGCAACGTACGCAATGCGCACAGAAACCAAGTTGCAGCGTTCTGTAACATCGCCAACATATCCAGTACGCGGTGGCAGGCTTGCCGAGCACGAAATGAAGGGGGGGTCGCATCTCACCATTCAACTAAGCATGCATGTGCTCGGTTGAATGCTCGGTAGCGTGCGAGTTTACCCCTATCAGGATGTTTGTTTGCATATCCCTCCAAGCGAGAGGGCTTGCACCTATGCTGATGTTCGTTCCAAGAAGTGAACTGAGGACTGATGCTACGGTGAAAGATTTGCACGTAAATTCGCCCGTGCAATAAAACGCCCTGTAACTCGCTTACGCTAATCTCACATTCCAATATGCCACTGCACTTGCCTCTCCAGCCTGGCCACATTCTCTTCCTCGCAAACGTACTTGGGCACCTTACAATCCAACACCATACGGGCTTTGGAAACGCGGGCAGCTGCTTCACAAGGACCCCCCTATTTACAAGAAGTGAACTGAGGACTGATGCTACACGTCATGTATACGCGTTGCTTAGCTTGCAACGAGACGCGCCCACGATGAAAGCTTCAGCTACACTCACAATACATTATACTGCTACACTATTCTCTCCAGTCCTACCACATTGTATTTCACCGACGTACTTCTGCACCTTCCACATCACCATACGTGCTTTGGAAACGCGGGCAGCTGCTTCACAAGGGCCCCCATCTTTTGTGTAATTGAGAGAAATGGAACTGTGGGGAGGTTGGGTCTCGCAACAGGATCCAGGCTATTAGTACACTGTACGGGTCCCTGTGGGCTGTCAGCAGTAGGGATTAGGCTTATGTGTTTCTTTGAAATTCGCGCTGGCCATAAGTGTTTGGTGAAAACTTGGTTGGAAAGAAACTGAGGGTTTGGTCGCCGACAGAACCAATTTATAGGCTCAATGAACGTTTTTTCGCCTCACGGAGTTGCCTTCTTACGAGCTTCTCGATTACGACGTAATCCATGTACAAGTTCTTATTCTCATTATTTCAGCTGTCGTGGGACGCGCATCTTCGTGTCGACACCTGACGCGCCGCAAGCGGAGCCAACACCGTCACACCTGACGGACAGCTTGGCAACTGCCATAAACGTCCACAGTGATGAAGTGAAAAAACGCAACGACGACGCTCTCGCGCGAGTGCTCGGCGATTTCGCCATCGCAAAGGCTACCGGCAAATTGGCTGAGGCGGAGGCGGAAGACGAGGATGAAATTGAGGGCGAGGAGGGTAAAGATTGGGTCTGGTGGCGCTCAGATGGTCCAAAGCTTACAAGCCAACGCCTCCCCTCAAGCTCTTCCAGCATATCATCAGCCGTGCAGGCCTCCCCCGTGCCCGGCACAGCCGGACCCTCCTCAGCCCTGCAGTCCAACCAAGACCTTCCGACCCGCCTTCCAGCCGGCGCATCTCAGCTAAAGCCCCGAACCACTGACGCTGGGGAACCTACAGGAGCGGGAGCCGGTGGACCTGCAGCCTCATCGTTCCCCCGTAAACGCCCCTCCTCCTCTTCCTCCTTCGCCTCCAAGCGCACAGCTACCCCACCAGCGGCACAGTCTCCCCACTACCTTCCTGCCGATACAGACTCACGCGCTGATTGAGCAACTGCTGACCCCGTGGCCGGGTGGGACGACCAACACACGCCTTTATCGTCCATGACTACATTAGGTCCCCTGCCCCAGGCCCCCCAGCAGCTCCCTACCGCAGCTGCGGCTTCCTGCCGTCTAGAGTCAGCCACCTAGCTGCTCAGCCAGTCAGCTGGCCGGAAAGGCCGCCGAGGAGATGTAATCACCCTGGGGCTCCACGGACAGCCAGCGGCCACAGCGGCAGCCACAGCAGTCTCCCAATACTCTGGGGCACGGGAGGTCTGCTCCATCAATAAGTTGAGTGCAACCGCACTGGATGGAAGACGGGCCCCGACCGAGAACGTCCTGTCCCGGGTTGTGACCTCATCCCGCGGTCCTGCTGCTTGCGGCTGAAACAACCTGGTTCCCATCTCCTTGTCCCCCTTCCTTACACCCTGCTTGCCTCTCGAGGGCTCCTTCTTGCCCGCGGAGGAGCTCTTAGTCTCCCGCAGCATCCTCCGCAGTGGCCCAGGGCCGTTACCATGGCACTGCAAGGGGTGCTTGCGGAGCAGCGCTGTGCGCCACCGCAAGAACCCGCACAGGCAAGTGCACGCACCAGCCGGATGTGGCTTGACGCCGCATGCTTATGGGAACGGGAGCCCCGCCGGGTGGAGTGGAAGAGCTGAGAGCCGAAGCGACCTTGGAATCTGCGGCCGCCTATACTCGTCCAAGTGGGAAGCGCAGTGGAGTGAGGGCAGCCGCTGGCGGCGCTCATCTAGCTCTTACTGGGCCGACAGCTGCCGCACATTTCTAGGCTCAGGTATTAGGCTTCCCGGAGAAACCACCTGCCCTTTCCACCAAGCAGCACCAGCAGCAGCAGCAGCTCGCCGCTCCTCATGGCTCCAAGGCACCTCCCTTCCACGGGTGCATGCGTGTGTCCTGGACTGGGCTTGCGTCCCCCGATGGATTGGCAGACGTCCGAACACACCCCTGGCACCTTTGTGCGCTACTTTCAGACCCTCATGCTTTAGGCTCCACGGTGTGTGTGTGGGGGTGCTGGTGGTGTATATACAGGGGACGTAGGGGCTCTAGAGAAAAGGAGTCCCAAGGGTTGCAGACGAGGTATGAATCCAGTAGGGTAGTACGGCCGCCTGCAGCAGCAAACGCCTACTTCTCCTCCTAAAGCGCGTATAGCATTTCAGCCGCTAGCTATATCCGCGGCGCGGCGAATGGAGTAGTTCTGTCACCGCGCTTACTACTGAGTGGGCGAAGGGGAGGGAGAGGACTTGCTGCGTCCCAGACTGCTTCAGGTTTCTCTACCAGCAGCCCCTCCCTGCACCTGGGCCTCGGAATGGGCCGGATGCTCGTAGCCTGTGTGTATTACATGCTGTGGGTGTAATCGTACAGCTCCGCTTGGTACCCCCGCCTGGTGGGGAGGGAATGGGGGTGGGTTAAAATTGCTGCGCGGGTTAATGACTAGACGTCGAACCCAGACGAGAATGAGGTCGCGGGCGCGCCTTTACGATTGGATGAGTGGATGAATGGATGGATGATGAGTGGATGGGTGGATGGATGAATGGTTGGATGGGACCAAAGTGCAGTGTGAGCCTCGAGAGGACTACGGCTAGGGTAGAGGTATGGGGGGGTAGGGGTACGGGATCTGAACACCTGCGGGTGGGGTGGTGGTGGTGTGAGTGGTCGGGGTGGACCCAGGCCGCGTCAACCAATGGGGTGCGGTGGAGGCGGAGGGCTGGTGCAGGCGGGACCCTGAGAAGAAGACCGTGTGGAGCAATGTAGCGGTATGCCTTCTGAACGACTGGGTGATGTATAGCCCATGAACTCATGGGCTATTGGCCCATCCTGCCTTTTGTGGCGATGTTGATACGTCAAAGAACATATATTAATGTGGGGCTTTTGAGCAGAGCGTAGGCATCTGGGTTAATGTGGGCATGCTACGTACGGATTGGCGGTGTTTTTGTACCGTGCGCGACTTGGCTGCGGAGAGGCAAACTTTGATACTCGTGATTCGGGAAGGTTTGGTGCCCCGCACAAGGCGAGTGGAGGGAAGGGCAAGCCTGCGGAGGATCCTACCCTCCTCACTTTTACTTACGATATGAGTTGGATTTAGAATCCTTGTGTAATCTCGTCTCGTGTGCCGGAATCCGCTGGTCCCACAAGTCCCAAGCCCCCCACTTTTTACGACAAACGTCCGTCACTGTCTCCTTGCGTTGCTAGTCCTTACTGGTAGAAAAACAACTCCCAAGCGCCACCTACCAAACTGCTCTAAACTCCTCCCGCGCGGAGGCTATTTTGGCCTTTAGGTTGGGTAGTCGGAAGCTGGCATGAAGCAGTGGCAGCCCCAGGCCTGAAGGGAAGCGAAACACGGCAGCAACGAGGGAGGGGGCGCAAGGGGAGGGATGTTAGGAGGACAGGAAGCAGCAAAGGCACAACAACGAAGACCCAGGACGCATTCTTGCGAAATGCCCTCGGATAGGACTTGAGCAGCTAGAGGTGAACTATGTGAGCGGGTGAAGCGCCAAGGAGGACAGTGAGGCCACAAGAGGTGGCTGAACGGCGGGGGAAGTGGGGGAATACGGGCGGGCGGACCGCGGGAACAGCAGTTAGGAGGAAGTACAGCAGGCGACAGCACCGCAACGCCGTCTCTCCACCCAGTGTAGACATCCTCGTGTAGTACCCAGAAGAAACGGCTCCGCCATGTTCCCAGTCCAGTCCAGCCAAGTCCACACACAGCTCATCAGCAGCCATCTACCCGCTCTCACAAACACACAAACAGCATAAAAGCTAACGTGCTTTCGGTACCATGATTGCCCTCCCCGGACCCTCCCGGACCCTTCCTCGTATCTGCCTCCCATCACGCCTCCTGGCAAGCGCCCTTCGGCCTATCACCCAAGCTATCGTTCCAGCCAGCCACCCCTTTGCCAGCATACCTTCACTTCAGCTACATCAGCAAATGCCGTAAGAGCCCAGTCCACCTCCCGACGGGTCTTCATTATACCCACCCAGCGATCCCCTTACACACCTGACTCAGGCAGATGCACTCAACACCCGCCGCGTCCAACCCTGCCCTCTGCCCGCTGCTGGCCGCATCACAGCCACACCCTGCACGGCGTGGCTTCCCGACCCTCCCACGACCCACCTAGTAGTATCGCCCAGCTCAAAGTGAGCAGCGCATGGCTCCAATACACCGCCACCAGGCCCCCACTGACGAGCCCGACCGCCACCAGAGAGCGGGGAAGCAACACAATGTAGACCCGCCGCCGCTTGTGGAGGCTGCGTCGAGTGAAGGAGGGGGAAGGGTGTTGAGACACAGGCGGGGTAAGGAGGAAAGGAGGGAAGCAGGCACAGCGCGAGCTGTGGGAGACCTTGGGGCCCACGAGATGCGGGTATGACCTCGGGTAGAGGCAGGCAGCGGGTAGAGGTGCAAAAGCTCGGTTAGCATATGACAGATGGCGACCTGGGCACCCTCCTACCCAGCGAGCGCGGGCCCTACTGCGGCCCCTGGTCCCCCTGGTCCCCGCAAACAGTCACCCAGGTGGATGTGACCATCAGTCCGCGCCCGGGATGCAGCACTTCAGTCGGCGGAACTCAAGCTCTGATCATGTCGGGCACCTCCGCCTAACCCTTCAAGCAACTCATCTGGGTCATACGCCCGTTTGGTTGCTGTTCAGGTATGCAGCGTTGATTTTCTTAACCTGATCGGCCCAAAGTTGGCCGTTTAGCCGTTCAGCCAGCTGCTGTTTCAACCGCCCATCTGGGTATCTCTGCATTTTTGACCTCCTTAACCCCCAGAACCCCTCACCCTACGACTCCGTCGGAGCCGGCTTTTGCTCGTGCTCGTGCTACCAGCCGGGGAGCGACCTTCCGCAAGGAGTGAAGCAGCGTGTCACTGCAACAGTCGCGGTGAACAGGGGGAATAGGAGAAATAATAAACATGCAAAAAGACATGCAAAATATGTTAACAAGTGTTGAGGTCAGGGACAATTGCTGACAGGGAAAAGGAATTCCTAGGGTGTTGACCTCTTGAAGGCGAGCGTGATACCTGGGTAAGTGTTAGTTTTTCATGTGTGTGTTGTAGGTGGTGGGGAACACGTAAACCCCGCAGCTGCAAACCTGTTGGTGTGTAGCGGACGGCGCTGCGTGCAACATGTCTACAGTGTGATGGAGTACGCAGCCTGCCGACATTGGTCTGGATACGCAATGAATACGCAACATCCCGGCAGCGTGTAGGTGAGGGGGGGAGTTGAGAGCACGCAACAACTTTCAGCCCCAGCGCTGGTGACTCACTTTAGTCCCGTCGCGAACGGGTCGTTGCAACAGCTCACGCCCAGAACGACCAGCGCTAAAGACGCCAGCGCCGACGGGTTGCGTAAGAAGCATACTATGAAAGAAAGGACTAATATTACCAGGTAGTTTCTGCGGGGAAGCGAGGGGAACTTTCCACGTCAAACGTCGGCGGACAGCCTTCCAAGCGCCTAAAGCTGGTTATAGAGTTTCTTACGTGCGATAATAGTAGAAGTTATTTTTCAATCGACTAGTTAAACCACGCGGCGGTCCTGCGCATGGTCAAACGAAATGGATGTTGCTTCCCTATATCGCAAGAATAAAGACGCAAGAATTTTGAAACTTGCCAAATGCACGAAAGAATTCCGACAAAGGACGCGGTGCGCTCCAACTAACGGTCTTAAGCGCGTCAATAAGCTCAGTGAATGTCACTTTCTGCCAGTCCATGATTTGGATGGAAAGATCCGCAACTATACGTTTACACAATTTCGAGTCAACCCAGATAATAACAATTGCAGTGGCGCAGCGGTTTCGGAGTACCTTTACAGGTCTTACCAATACTATGAAATAGGTTGACTTGAGCCAAAGAATTTCGATGATTCGCCTACGGTCCCCCGATCTATCAAAACAATCACCATAAGCTCTCGTTTGTGTTGGGAAACCCTGCTCGTTGCAATCACCAGCACTGGAAGGTGAATGGTCGTGACGATGCCGTTTACCCTGCGCTGTGCACGCCGCTTTGATGCGGCGACTCCACCGGCCACGTGTCCCAGTCAGCAACATTTCCAAGTTGACATCTGTGACTGCTCGGATACATGTCCCCTTTCCTTTTTAGGATTCTCTGTTACAAGGGATCCAGGTTGGTCACCCGACATGGCATAAAGCAGACGTTCCTCCAACCCCAGGGCCACCAAGCGCCTTGACACTTTCTTTACTAAAGGCCCACCCAACTCCCAACACTAACCATATAACCCGTGACGAAACTGAAGGATTCACAGAGAAGAAACTCCAGAGCGCATGGCAAGGAGTTGTACAAAAAAACATACGGTTCAAATGCCGCCGCGGAAATCACAACCAGGTCACAAACGCCTAGCACCTAACACCAAGCGGAGAGTCGGGATGGAGAGGTAAGAGCGGCCATGCACCGCGTAGGCAAGTCAAACTGCACAACACAGAACCCAGGGGCATCTCCGAAGTCCCTGGAGGACTGCCAAGAAATTCATCGTCACCATCTTACCCCGGTAGTACATGACGGTTTTTGATTCACTTGTGTGGCGCCGTGGTGCAGCTGCTCCTCCTCCGTGAGGTGGTCACCGTGCCCAATAACAATGATACCGTACATCGCAAGCTACGCTGAAGGACATCCAGAGCAGATGCAGCAGTTTAAGTTCAGTCAGATGGGTGTCTTCCTGTCCAGTTGACGTAGCGTCATTAATCACCCTTCTTTCGCTTTTGCCAATCTCGGCCTCGGCCTGCCTGCCTCGGACGCACTGCTGAGATCCTTTCCCAGTTCACCTCTCTCTGCGAGCGCCGTCCAGTAGGCTACTGCTGCATAGACCTGCTGCTTCTCAATCAGCCAGCTCGTATTGAGGGCCATGACGGAGGTGACAACACGACAGGATTGCAACAGACAGAAGGCTGCAACAACAACGGGAATTCGCTAACAGCTAAATACCTTCACCGCATGTTTCCTATACAGGCTCCCTTCATGCACGCGCCTGACAGCTGCACATTCAGCACTTACCAACATGTCGCGTCTTGCCGCCTCGCTCCCCCCCCCCGCCACACACACACACAGCTCCAACGTGTTACAAGTGCAGTTTATGGACACACCGTACATGAGCACGCGGTGGCTCCGCTCCAGCATATCAACCTCCTACCGATAGTTAATGCCACACAACGTAGATATCGTGTATATAATATATATCTATCTATCTATCTATCTATCTATCTATCTATCTATCTATCTATCTATCTATCTATCTATCTATCTATCTATATATATATATATATATATATATACGACCAACATACGCGTAAGCCTACGGCCTGAATAACGCCGGCGCGCAATCTGGTGAGCCACAGGATTTGATTCCCCGTGGGGACGCTCCCTTCCCTCCCCACCATGCCACCAAAGCCACACAGGAAGACCTACTCTTTTGTTGCATCTTGCAACCTCCTGTGATTCCTCCTCCTTGCGCTCCCTCGCTGACCGCCTCCACATACGCACGTGCGTATCAAAGAAGGCGCAGCAAGCGGCGCCACGCCGGCGCCATGTCCCACGAACCGGCCGCAACACCTACATATACCCTTACACGCTCCTCAACACCGCCCCCACACACACAATTTCCTCCCCCCCAAAGAAAAACCAAAATTCCAAATTATCCCAAAGTCCGCACTGCTGTCTGTCCAGCTAGTCAAGCCAGCAACGCTTCACCCCCAATCAATCCGTCTGTCAGTTCGCCCCTCCTTCTCATCTGTCTGTCAGTCTGTCGTTCCAACCCACCCTCCCGGAAACTACACCTCCTGGGCCAGCCGGGCGGCCTCGACCGAATAGAGCTGAGGACGTCCGCCAGCGAGGAGCAGCGGCACCAGACTGCCGCCAACATGCGCCGCCGCCGCCTCCAACCCCGACCCCGACCCCGACCCCCGGCCAAACCCCAATCCCAGCGACACGCCGCCGACAGCTGCTGCAGCAGACAAGTCCACGGCACCGCCAGCAAGGCCCCACAGCGCCGCTCCCCCCAGCCCAGAGCTCTCTAGAAACGCCGCCGCAAGGTGCCGCGGCGATGCAACACCGCCGCCGCCGCCGCCGCTGTCGCTGTCTCCGGGTTGCGGAATCGCGCCGGACCGCCGCAACAGCTGCAGCAGCAGCGGAATGCGGCGAGGCGGGTACGACACAACCTCCGCGTCCTCCGGAAGTCCCGCCAGCTGCTTGGCGCGCTGTACGGCAGTCTCCAGGCCGCCAAGCTCGTCCACAAGACCCACTTCGTGCGCTTGTCGCCCGGTATACACCTTGCCTTTGGCGAGCTGCCTAACCTCCTCCACCGGCCGCCCGCGACCTCTCGACACCTTTTGGGGTATAAGTGCGGGTGTATGCGTGTATGTACGCATGTACGTATGTACGCGTGAGGACGTATTTAACACACCGAACACCAAGCAACGCTTAACAACGCCGCATTAGGCGGCGAACACGGCACGTCAAAGGTCAGCGGACGAATTGGTGGAGCAGTGGATTTGACCAGGCGCCCAGCTGCCCCTACCCACCTTCCTACAGCCCCTCCCTCGCCCTCCAGAAACCACTGCCACCTCCTCTTCCCCACACCGCCATCCTGAGAAACCCTCCCCATGCCCCCGCCTACTGACCGGGGCCCCAACCCACTACCCAACCCCCTCCTCCTGGCAGGTTTCTCACACTTCCCGTCCGGCCCCTACCATTTGGCGCTACATCCGCCTCCCCCCGACCAGTCCCCAGCCTGATCCTACTCCCCCCTCCAATTTCAACCCCCCCCTTAGCAGCCAGCTACCTTCTCCAGGAAGTCCTGGTACACGTGGTCTATGAGGGCCTCCATCTGGGCCTCCTGGTCCGGAGTGAAGCCCGTGAAGGGGCTGAGGGCGTCGGCGTTGCGACCCACCTAGTGGGTGTGTGTGAGGGGGAGGGGTGTGTGTGAGGGGGAGGTGGGGGTGTGAGGGGGAGGTGGGGAGGGCAATCATCTGCAAAGGCATGGTCACCGGCCGACCAGTCCAAAGCGCACGGGGAGGTGCGGCAGGACAGGAGCCGCCACAGGAGCCCCCACGGAGACCAGGACACAGACAGACAGACAGACTCACTGCCTTACAAACTGACAGACAGACGGACAGGCAGGCAGGCAGATACTGACACTCATCCAGACCTGCCGACCTGTCGTCATATCACATCTCCCCGGACAGGCCCCCTCCACCCCTCTCACCGTCACCCCCTCGCTCCGAATGCCCGCCTCCTCCAGCGTCTTGCCCACGTAGACCTTCCCGAACAGCACACCGATGCTGCCCGTCAGACTGCCCGGCTGAGCCACGATGTGGTCCGCAGCAGCTGCCAGGTAGTACCCCCCACTGGCCGCAACATCACCCATGCTGTTGGAAAGGGGGACGGTCACGTGTGTGTGTGTGTGCGCGCGCGTGTGTGTGTGTGTGTGTGTGTGTATGTGGATGTGCATGTGTAAGAGTAGCTATGTGTGTGGATGTGTGAGGCGTTAAGGGCGGTTGGATGGGATCTTCTGGTAATGGTGGTAAGTGGTAAGGGTGGTGGGGATTATCTACCACACGTATGACTTAGATTACACTGTGGGCCGCGAGAGCCGGGGGCCGAAACACAGCACAAGGGTCGGGAGCACACAGCACAACTCTACCACACGTATATGCAGCAAAACAATCAAGTGCCGACGTTGGCCGCCAGGGGGAACATACATACAGACAGACAAAAAGACCACAAGAACAACAGCAGGGATCAGGCTGTCCGGTGGCTGCCGAGGGCCCGGGGAACGAGGGGGGGGGTTAATGTGGAGGAAATAAAAGTATCCCAACACGACAAGACGTCGGAGTTGGAGACCCTAAGTCCTGGGCGGGGCCCAGGTGTGCCCCTGTCTCCCCTGCCTCCTGACTCCGTGCGGCCCGAGGAGCTCCCCCCCCCCTCCCCCCTACCAACATCGCATGGCATCACAGCCCAGTTCCCGTCTCACCTGACCACCACCACCTTACCCGCCGCCCTCAGCCGGACCAGTTCGTGGTGCAGCGAGTCGGAGGCCAGGGCGCTGCCCCCCGGGGAGTTCACCCGCACAACCACCGCGGTGACTGCGGGGGAGGGCGCGAGTGAGTGGGGGGGGGCGGAAATCATGAGCGAGAAAGTGGAAGTAGTAAGCTGCCGGTGGAATGTGACAGATACATGCATACATACATACACACATACACAGAGAGACGGCAGGGGAAGAGAGGGGAGAGGCGAACGAGTGAGTGAAGCTGATACCAAGGAATAAAGGGGGAGGAAAGGAAGGCAGGGAAGAAGGGGGCGAAGCGAGGGACAGGAAGGCGGATGGTTCTCGGATGCTGCTGGACGAGGTTGGATGGGGGGGGAGGTGGGCAACATGTCCGGGCAGCTGTTCGGCATCTGGGCCCAGGCCCAGTGTAAAGGGAAGGGGAAGGGGAGGAAGGGGAACAGCTTGGAAAGGTGTTGCCGTGGCGGCGTGTGCGCCACGCGTCATCCGTACCCAAACCCAAACGCGCTCTGCCGATAACAGGCAAACATCTCCCCCGGGTCCCTCGCATCATCCAACTCGCACCCATGACCGCTATCCCCACTCCCCTCCCCTTCCCCGCGCCCGGGGTGCTTCCTCACCCCGCTTCATAGTGCATTTCTCCCACCCCGCCCCGATTTCCTCCCCACACACAAGAACCCCCACACGACACCCCCACCCACACATACATACATACATACACACCCGTGGAGTCCTCCAAGAGGGCCGCCAGTTGGCGGCACAGCTTTGTGGCGTCAATGACCTGAGGGCTAGGGAGGGTGAGGGAGGGGGCCCCGACCGGGGGGCAACACACACACATACACACACATACACACATACACGTGGCATGCATTAAGTTACCCCCTTAATTTACCCCCAGGAGGCTTAAGTTCCCAGTGCAGACCAATGGTAAGGACAGCTTAGGACAGTTGGTGGTTGGAGTGCCGGTGCTTCGGCAGCCGGTGCTTTGGACAAGACTCCCAGTACTTGATATATCCCCTCAGCTTCGTCTTCGTCTTCTTCTCCATTGAAATCTTCTTCTTCTTCTTCTTCTTCTTCTTCTTTTCATCGAAATCTTCACCCCACCCCAGCCCACTCACCCTCCCCCCGAGCCCCTACCTGCCCCTGCGACTGGCCCGGCGGCACCGGCCCCTGCACAATGGGCCCCGAGGCCGTCACCACCGCCACCTTGCTGCGCCGCTTTCCACCGCCCCAAAAAGAATCTTCAGCTCCACCATCCTGGGACAGGACAGGACAGGACAGGGCAGGGCAGGGCAGGGCAGGATGGGGGGGAAAGAAAAACCACGAACGAGTGAAGCTGCTGCCAAGGAAAGAGAAGCATAACTGACCAGTAGGCGGTTCTGAAGGAGGCGACCTCAAGATGATGTAATGATGATGACCGCGGAAACCTGCCTACCTACCTAGCCGCCAAGACTAAAATAAGAGCGGAAGAAAAGCAGTAGAACGAAGCCGTAAAGAAGTAAGGGTTGGTGTAGAGGCAGCGAAGAAGTAGTAAAAAACTGATGACGTGAAGCTGGAATAAAGTTTGCCGCCGGCCTGGCGGCGGCATTGACAAGGTTGGACCAATACTGGCTGATAAGCTGGTAATAAAAAGCTGGTGACATGCAAGTGCTCCTCCCAACACCCCAAAACGCGCCCGACCCGACCGACCCAACTACGGAGGCGAGGGAGGGGAGTGACGGGGGAAAAGTTTCATGGAGTGCGATGTGCAGCACCGAACCAGGTAACGGCCTCCTGAGGGGGTGGGGGGCTGAAGAGCGGGTGCCCCGACAACACCCACATACACACATAGACACACAGGCCGACACACACACAGACCGACATACACACGGACACACACGCACACAGGTCGGCCGGAGGGGCCCGGCTCGGAACTCAAAGACTCGCATGCATGGCCTGGTCGTGGTGTGCTTAGGGGGCGGGAGGGGGCTGCAGAGCACCGCAGGCATTGCACCTTACTCCGCAAACACATTCCCCACAAGCCGCAAAAACACACCCCGCCAACCCCCACCCCCCCCACCCCCACCACCACGCACGTACCTGCTGCTGCTGCTGCTGCTCTTGCTGCTGCTGCTGGCCCCTCACCGCCCGCACCAGTCCCTCGAACGCCGTGCCCCCCAGCCAGCCCCCCGGCCCCTCCCTGACCGCCTCAGCAGACTTCTTCAAGTCCAGCAGCCGGATGTACTTGTCAACAGGAACACGGACCAGGCGAACATCGTCCTGAGAACGAGGGGACGGGGGGGGTGCGGGAAATCAGTGGCAGGGCCCCAGAACAAAAAGGGCCTTGAAGGGGCCTTTTGAAGGTTCCCATCCCATCACCCCATCACCCCATCACCCCGTCCCCAAGTCCCCACGTCCCCACGTCCCCACGTCCCCACGTCCCCACGTGCTCGTCCTCACCTTTCTGCGCTTATGTTTGCTGCCCAATCGCTCCTTCTCCTCCTTCAGTGCCTTGTCGCTGATGCGAAACAGCGCCTGCACCTCGTCCCTGCGGCAGTAGCAGTGATCGCCATGAAGGCAAGCAGTAGCAGACAACAACAACAGCAACAAGAACATGTAGGCAGGACTCTTCACAACATTAACAGCAGCTATATAGTCAGCCGCAGCACCAGCAGCACCAGCAAGCAACAGTAGCGGCAGTAGCAGGTAGTAGCGGCCGTCACTCTAGGGTTTCGTGCCGCTCCGTGCGTCCGCCCTCCTCCGTCATAAAGGCACCCCCAGATTCCTCCTCCGCACCCAACATTGCTGTCACCCTCCCAGGTGCAATAGTCCCTCCTCTCACGCGCATACTTAAACTTCCCACCCATCCACACGTCCATTCATTTACACATCGAAGCCTTCACACCTTCCACGCAAACACAGGGTCCCCTGCTAGGGTGGGCCTTGCCCCTACCTCTACGACATCCCCACCACATCCCCACCATACCCCTAACGAAGGGCGCAATGACTCATACTCGTACTTGTATTTCGTGCCGTTCAGCAGCTTGGCAGCGGTGGCGGCCGCTGGCAGCAGCGGAGCCTGGTCCACTGCCTGCCGTACAGACTCCGCCGGCAGCCCCCGCGCGGAGCTCATAGCGGCGAACATCTGTGGCATCGGTGGCAGCGGCGGGAGAGGGGTGTGCACGGAGGGAGTGCACGCATACATACACACACACGTTTTACGACATGTACGACAAGTAACCGAGCAGTGAGGTTCCTTCCTTATAGTAGACATTTACCCACAGGGAGACACCGAGATGTTCTTCTCGCTTTAACCCCCCCTTAACTCTTGCCCTGGCAGCAGCTTCACTCGTTTGTGGTTCGTCTTTTCCCCCCTAACTCTCCACCCCAACACCCGCCCCCAACTCGGCCACTTCCCACCCAACAACCCCCGAAG